ATTTTCAAGCATTTTCCCTGTAGTTATGTGCGTCTTGGTTTTACCTGATCATTTCATTACAATTTGACAGGTGAGGCTTAAGAAAGAACAAGAAGAAAAAGAAGATAAAAGAAGATACAAGGCACAAGCTCACCTATTTACGATCATTAAGGTTTGTTTTTCTTCTTTTATTGGGCCTGTTACTATGTTTGTAGGTGTTTTAGAGTGAAATTTTGACACTGTTGCTACTAATATATCTTTGTTAACATAAAAGGTTGCAAGAGATCAAGACCTGAAGGAACAAATTGGGAAGGATATATATTTTGATCTTGTTGATCATGACAAAGTTCGTAGTTTCCGGATCCAGAAACAGACACCATTTCAACAATTTAAGGTACTTGCCTGATTATTTTTTTATTTTCCTTTTCCATAAAGGATATAAGTTGCATCTATTGAAGAAATGGATTATGTTAAAACGGTCTTTCTAGAATTTTGAGTCTACCTGAAAGAGGAATAACAATTAATCTGAATGCCATGAGAATTTTTAAATTGCCCTGCTGACTAACACGGTCTTTATATACTTGTAAATTTAAACATTTACCTTCTTTGACCTCCAATCTTATGCTGAAATAGGAGGAGGTGGCCAAAGAATTTGGTGTTCCTGTTCAGTTACAGAGGTTCTGGATTTGGGCAAAGCGACAAAACCACACTTATCGTCCCAATCGCCCTCTTACGCCTCAGGAGGAATTACAACCGGTAGTTTTATCTTTCTCAATGCTATTCGTGCATGTAGTTTGCCTCTTTCTTTCGGACGTATGAGTTTATAGCGAAGTATTACTCTTAACTAATGTAGAATCTGATTATCTGCTACCTTTTTATTTCCTATGTTACAATCTTTACATCTATTTATCTGATTTTTCGGTTTTAAGTGTTTCTAGTCCTGTTGTGTTGTTTGGAACCTGTGATTTCGTTAGTATTTCAGAATTTCCTAGCACAAGTTTCTCTGCTTGTTTTGAAATGAGTTTGCCTTGTTGTATGCGGGACATTTTATCTTCTTATAACGTAAGAATTATGTAAGAGTCCCTTGCTTAATGACCTGTGCATCATGTACGAATGTGCTTATTTGGGAAATGGGTTTTGTAGGTTGGACAAATAAGAGAAGCATCTAACAAGGCAAACACTGCAGAATTAAAGCTGTTTCTGGAAGTGGAGATGCTGGTAAGAACTCCTGGCTGTAATGTTTAATTTTGAAGCCGTAATCGTTAAAAGAAAAACAGAAGCTAATTGATCAACAGGGAAATGAGCTAAAATTTTCTTACTAATTCTTGAATATTTCAGGATGAACGTCCTGTTCCTCCTCCTGAAAAATCAAAAGAAGATATTCTTCTTTTCTTTAAGCTTTATGACCCCGAGAAGCCAGAATTGAGGTAATAGTTTTTTGCACCTTTTCTGTAACCGCTCTGACCTCTATGTACTGCAACTGTGGTAGCAATTATTTGATACCTCATTTTCTTTCGTAAAATTTGTATATTCTTGTGCTGCCAGGTATGTTGGCAGGCTGATGGTGAAAAGTTCCAGTAAGCCTATGGATATAACTGGTAAACTGAATGAAATGGCTGGCTTTGCTCCTGATGAAGAAATTGAACTTTTTGAGGTTTGATGCTGTCTATTAATCTTTTTACCATGCTGATGGTTATTTATTATGTCATTTAACGGTTTCGAGGGCTTATTTACAGGAAATCAAGTTTGAACCTGGTGTTATGTGCGAACACCTGGATAAGAAAACTTCATTCAGATTGTGTCAAATTGAAGATGGAGATATCATTTGCTTTCAGAAACCCGTTAAGGAGACTGAATCCCGCTACCCAGCTGTTCCTTTGTTTCTTGAATATGTCCAGAATCGACAGGTATAAATTCAACTAAGTACTGGTTCCTAAAGTCAAGCTTGACAGAGTTTGGCTACTTATAGCTCCAAATGATGAGCTCCTATCAAGTGATAAATAACTGTGTAATAATATAGGATGGTCTGGTAGAGTGGTTTCGCGTATGCTTGGTATCCCACTATTTTTTATTTCTATCTTGCTGGTATGCTAGTATTCCTTATTCTGAGCCTTCGTGTTTTCATTGCAAATTTGTGAATGTTCTGTAAAATTGATTCTAGCTGGCATGATTCGGCTTGCAATTAACTTTTGCGGTTTGGGATTTTGTAGCTGGTTCGGTTTCGTGCTCTGGAAAAACCAAAAGAAGATGAATTTGATCTGGAGTTGTAAGTACCTCTGTGGATGAATATGTTTCAGCTGATTTTGAGTGAGAAAATCATAATTGTTTGTTTCTTAGGTCAAAGTTGCACACGTATGACGATGTCGTGGAAAGAGTGGCTCAGAAGCTTGATCTTGACGATCCATCCAAACTTAGGCTTACATCTCACAATTGCTATTCCCAGCAACCCAAGCCTCAGCCTATTAAATACCGTGGAATGGACCATTTGTCAGATATGCTAGTTCACTACAATCAGGTAGTTGACGTGAAGTTCAGTGAACTTATTAAACTTCTTACTATAGAATGCATGTTTGCTTATTGGATTGTTTTTTCTTTTCAGACGTCTGACATTTTGTATTATGAAGTGCTTGACATTCCTCTTCCAGAATTGCAAGGTCTTAAAACCTTAAAAGTTGCTTTCCATCATGCTACGAAGGAAGAAGTATGTGCAGACATTTTTTTGTGTTATTCATAGTCTTTTTTTCTTGTATATTGGATTAATTGACAAACCTCTTAACCATCATTGTACAGGTGGTAATCCACAATATCAGACTACCTAAACAAAGCACAGTCGGAGATGTCATTAATGAACTTAAAACAAAGGTGGGTGGATCGATTCAGTTGCAGTTTCTTTGTAAATGGCTGGTTTAATATCTTAAGCGGGTGTTTTCTTCCTTTGAATTGATCTCTGGATTGTTGATATCTGGCTTGTCTATATATCACTGAGAGGACAATTCACTGAAATTGAAGGCATCCAGATTATTGGATGCATCTACTGCCATTTTTGTTACTGAGGATCTTTCGTTTTTCTAGATTTAAAAATTTTAAATGGATTTCTCCGAAAAATCATACATTCATTATTATGCAAGTGATTCTAAGGTCTGTGCCCGATACAGGTGGAGCTTTCCCATCCAGATGCAGAACTGAGACTTCTTGAGGTGTTTTACCACAAGATCTACAAGGTAACAAGCGACTTCTTGTCATTTACATTGTAGACAGTGTTCTCATGATCCTAAGATGATGGCTTCTTGCAACCCTCTCAAGTATAATGAACATTAACCCAATGTGCTGGTATGTCTTGCAGATTTTCCCATCAACTGAAAGAATCGAGAATATAAATGACCAGTACTGGACTCTACGAGCTGAGGAGGTATATTATTAACCAACGCCTTCTACTTAACTTAGTTCCATCTTCACAGCTTTTTGGTATCTTCCAAGTCTTAGTGGTGTCACTGTTCATTAGCCAGTTGTTTGAATATATAATGCATGTTTTCCATGGTCATTTATCCATTCGCCAGAGATACTGACTTATGTTTTCCGAAATCTCAGATTCCGGAAGAAGAGAAGAACATCGGTCCGAATGATCGCTTAATTCTTGTGTACCACTTTGCCAAGGAGACTGGACAAAACCAGGTGATAATCAGTATATCAAGCTTTTGTCACAGCATTTAACCGTTACATGAGTTTTAGTGTCTAATCGGTATCATTGTTTGGTTGTTCCTCAGCAAGTGCAAAACTTTGGGGAGCCCTTTTTCTTGGTAATCCATGAAGGTGAAACTCTTGAAGAAATCAAGAACCGTATCCAAAAGAAGCTTCATGTATCCGATGAGGACTTTGCCAAGGTATGCTCGACTGAGTAGATGATTAATTCTAGATAAAGAATCAGAGATGTTTTTAGATAATTATCTTAATGCTTGCTTCATTATGCAGTGGAAGTTTGCGTTCATGTCAATGGGGCGTCCAGAGTACTTGCAGGACACAGATGTTGTTTATAATCGCTTTCAGGTTATTACTTCTTCTCTTCTCATCTTGTAGAAATACTCAGGGCTATTATCTGAGATCTAAGTAAGTTTATGTTCTTTCTTCGGATTGAAAATGGTAAACAGAGAAGAGATGTCTACGGTGCTTTTGAGCAGTACCTCGGGTTGGAGCACACTGATACTACTCCTAAGAGGGCTTATGCTGCAAACCAGGTAACATTTTCATGATTATTGTATATTTTTCCGCTAAAGAGGTGTAACGAAGTTCCTCTTTTGTTAACTAATATTATTTTTGCGTTGTCCTTTGTAGAACCGACACACTTACGAGAAACCGGTGAAAATATACAACTAGCCGAAGAAGAAAAAACACAAATGTCAGCGAGACATTGTGGGAGCGATGTTGGACCTAAGGCATCGAATAAAAGGAGGGAAAGAGCTCAGTGTGAGATGTGATGATGGACCTATGTAGGATGTTGTAGAGAATTTGGGTTCTGATAGGGTTTTTGGGTTTGCGCATTGATAGTGTGTTTTTTATTTTATTTTTATTTTTCTTTCGTGCTTCATTACTTTGTGTTAATATATGGAATCATGTGTGGAGACTATTGGCACATGCAAATTTTATTTCGAAAAAAAAAATGGAAGCCCGTCGCTTGGATTCGGGAGCGCGGTTGGCTTTCAGAGTTTATAGAACACCGAAACCTTTGTAATTTTAGAGATTTGGGTTTTAAGAAGATTTTTGACGATTGTATAGTTTTGCGTTTCCAATTATCATTGTTCTGCTTTGTCGAAACAATGTGGGTACGAAGTGTATCAAATCGCGAGCCTTGGAGGAGGCGGAAAAACAGAGCAAATTCAAGTCTCACTTGTTATGAAACTCATGCTTTTTCTAGTGTTGATTTGTTCACACAGACGATTATACACAAATAAAAAGAAAAGCTGTTTTAGGATGTGAATAATTTCCGAAAAGACAAAGATCAACACTAAAATGTGTAACTCTCAGCTCTATGCAACTCTATAGGATACAACACCGTCCGTTGTCTCGACCACAAATCTCTTCATCCGAGTCAGCAGCACTGTGTACGCTTTCTCCTTGTGGCCTGCGAATGCGATACAACCATCATCATTGTCTGTCTATGCAATATTCTTTCCTTTTGTGATTCTCATGATATACACTGAAGATAATGCGGAGATCCTAGTTCTACATCCATAACCCGGTTTTAAGAATGAGAATCATATGAACGTACCAAGGCCTAGAGTCGGGATTTCATCTGCACGGAAATAGTAAGATCCGTTTGTTACTTTCTTGCTACCGAGGACCGAGTTGAATTTCTGCACTGCACTGAGCAGATCCTGTAAAGTGCATATAAATGTTAGTTAAGAAGAAAACCATTTGATATAACAAGAGAATTTGGATAATCTCCATACCTCCCACGACGCCAGAGACTTCATGTAAGAAGGAAGACTTTCATACTCTTCTTTTATCAATGCTAATGCAGGCCCTGAAGCTCTATCAATCCCTAGTGTCGCATTCTCATCTTCTGCATGTAACAAAGTCTAAAATCAAAAACCAGAGACTAATGAAATTCACTGACAATCACATCACACTAGTAAAGGCTTAGGAAATAACCATTGGAGAGCTCTGACGCCTTTGGAGCAGGTAGAGCACTTGTGTCAAATGGTTTGCCCCTACATCACAGGAAAACTTGCTGATGTACAACAAAGAGGAAGCACATAAAGATCTATTAATTTCAAAGGCATCAAAACCTACTTCACTGATTCTTCCACATACGTGTAAGGATCCTTCACATTATCGTTGACTGGAAACATTAAGAAGATGATCAGAGTCGCAAGCAAACAATATTACTCTATCAAAGTGAAGAAAAATCTTGCTGCCTTACCTTTTTCTGAAGCTAAAGTTGCAAGACAAGCATCTGAAAGCCCAAGGTTCTTCAAATTTAGTGAATCATCTAGACTAGGAAACATTAAGGAAACAACATTCTTTGTTTCACTACTCGATTATGATCAAGAGGACAAAATAACTAGCAAACTGTAACAAATCCATGGTTAAAGCTATTTATGCAAAATTAAGCAGCTGCCAGAAAATCGTAATTTCTCTCACTAAAGGTTCAAAAAGGATACAAATCGTCCTCGTCTAGTCCTTTAATGGTTGAGCGTTGCAATGAATGAGGCTCAAAATCATCATCCGAAAGCTTTGAATCCTCATGACCAAATGCTCCAAAGTCAGATTCCTCATCTCTGCCTTCATCAATCTCAATTCCTGGGTCCAAAAATGATATTTTAATCTGAGCGAAGCTTCAAAGTCACTACATTTCATTTCTAAATACAAAAGTGTAGGACCAAATCACAGCTTTGATTACCAGGAACATAGCCGAAGTCAGTGAGGCGGTTCTGGAGATGAAGAAGCTCCTCTTGGTTATTTTTGTAGATCTGATTACAGTGACCCAGGAGCTCCTCGAAGGAGACAGTACCGAAAGACATGGAATCAAGGAAATTCAAGTCGGAACCTGCGGTGGAGAGTCGACGATTCAAGCTCTTGATGAAAGTGGATGAAGCCGAATCTGCCCAGAATCGAGAGAAGTTGAATTTAGGGTTTTGATGACAAAATCGAGATAAGAAAAAAAGGGGGAAAAGAGAGAAACAGACCGAGAGGGATAGGGCGGCGTTGAAGAGAGTGATTGAAAGCATCGCAGCTGCTTTGAAGATGATTGCAGAATCCTCCCAAGCTCTTACTCAAGTTCTTGAGCTCTTCCTCCATTTCGTCTTGCCTCTGATCTCTTTCTCCTCTCTTTCAACTTTTTTAATCCTGAATTTGCTTTTGGCGGGAATTAGATCTGAGGAATCAATAAAAAATCACTTCTTTATATTAAAGCTTTTACATTTCATTTTTCTTAAAAGCTTTTTTGATGTGGACACGAGTTTCAGTGGTGATGGTGACGAAAATCATCTATGATTCGGTGAAGAATAAATAAATACATAAACTAAATTCAGAGTTTGTCGAGTAGCTTTTTCTTCGGTATCAATCTCCTCCGCTGCCCACTATCCTCAATTCCTCATGGCCTTCTCTTCATGGTTTGCTCGCTCTCGCCTCTCCTCTAGAACAGCTTTCGCCTTTCTCCGGCCTTCTCGGCAGCTCCACTCGACGCCCAAGGTAGCTGCTGACTCGACAGCAATTTCTCCGGCGAAGGGCCGCCGGAGGCTCCCGAATTGGTGGTCGAGCTCTCTTCTCCCATTGGCGATAGCCGTTTCCGCCACCAGTTTCGCTTTCCAGAGCCAGTCGCATCCTTCTATCAGCGAATCATCAACGGCGGCTTTGGATTCTGGGTTCGTCATTTTATCTAATTTTTTAAAAGATTGAAGTCTTCCAAAAGTCAACGGAATTGTTTGATTGCTTCGTTTCCGTTTCTCTGCAGTGATATAACTATTGGCGGAAAAGATAGCACTGAACATGAAGTTAAAGGGGAATACAAGGAGGTTCCTAGTGAGCTTATTACTGAATTGAAAACAATCCTCGAGGTACTGCAAAATTTGAATATTTGTTTGTCTCTATTCTCTGTTTGAGAAATTCCTTGGCTTTGATGTATCTGAATTTAGTTGCCTATCTATTTCCTTGTGTTGAAAGGATAACTTGACAACGGACTACGAAGAGAGGTACTTCCATGGGAAACCTCAGAACAGTTTTCACAAGGCAGTAAACATTCCTGATGTAGTTGTCTTCCCGAGGTGAGACTACTTTTTGCTGCAATGATTTTTCCATCTAGATTGATATCAGTAGTTGAGAAAGGTTCTGCTTGTGAGACTGTGACAACTGACTGCGTTATATTTTTTTTCGTTAGTCTTTTGGCTTTATCAAAAGAAATTCATCCTTTTAAATTTTGTGTAGGTCCGAAGAAGAAGTCTCTAAGATTCTTAAATCCTGCAATGAATATAAGGTATGTAAGTTTGACCTGTAAAAGTTTTGAAGTCTCTAAGCCAAAAATGCTAAATTCCTTTAGGATATGAAGCTTCTTCGGTGGATTAATCTTTCCGGCTTTTATTATCCTATTTCTTTTTGCTTGAACGAAGGTAATCCTTGCTCTTATGCAGCAATTACTTTTTGTTTAGGTTCCTATTGTACCGTATGGTGGTGCTACATCGATCGAGGGTCATACCCTGGCTCCAAAAGGAGGTGTATGCATTGACATGTCATTGATGAAGGTATATCCTAATCTTTTATCTGACATCAGTGTCCTTGATTTTCAAGCTTATTTTAGTTCCGTGGGGTCTGCCCTTTGCCTGGACACTTGATATTTGATCTTCAATTTTCTACAGTATATGTTGCTTTACGCCTCAACTGCTCATCATATTTTTCTTTCCCCTTTATAGCGGAAGTAGTTATATCAATCGACTTTTCCTGCTGACTTGACACGACTTTACATTTATACATTTCAACTTACAGTATGCATGCAGATGTTATTGAAATTATGCCACTTGTGCTCATTTAAATGCTTATCTGAAACTGTAGAAGGTGAAAGCATTACATGTGGAGGATATGGACGTTGTAGTTGAGCCTGGAATTGGTTGGATGGAGCTTAATGAACATTTAGAACAATACGGTCTATTTTTTCCTCTTGATCCAGGTTAGACAACATTCTGATAGTACCATATCTCTCAGATCATAGTTGTTATGTCTGTGTATTAATTAATAGTCGGTGCACATTTTTTTAGATCAACTGATATTATTTTAAGTGAAGTCAGTTATCCTAAGGGAATTTTTTCTTCTTGGGGTTGCTGCATCATTCAATGTCTTTAGCGTTGTGCTTAAATGAGTGTTTAAATAGTACAAACTTCAGTTTCCGCTTCTATGGGTTCCGTTCTACAATTTTGATATTTGGTGCAGGACCCGGTGCAACCATAGGAGGCATGTGCGCTACACGTTGCTCTGGCTCTTTAGCTGTAAGGTAGTTTTCTGCAACGTTGTTCTTCATTTAATTGCTCGCTCATCTTTCTAATAATTTTGGGGGTGCTTTAATCGGGTTGGCTTTGATAATTCTGCTACTAGTTTGTAGGTATGGAACTATGCGTGACAATGTTATAAGCCTCAAGGTTTGTTGTTTCTTCTACTCATTCATGCCTTATTGTAAGTTCTGTTTTACTCATGCTGTGCTCGTCTCAGGTGGTTCTTCCTAACGGAGATGTTGTGAAGACAGCTTCACGTGCTAGAAAGAGTGCTGCAGGGTTTGTCTTCAGTCTTCAATTATTTTCTTGATTCTTTGTTTGATTACTTTTCTCCGAAATGGCAACAATAAGCAAAACTTGAATAGTATGCTTCCAGTCATTTGATAATTACTTATCATGTCACCAGCTAGAACAATAAGGAAATAGGTTAAGATCGACTGGCTTATGTGATGTTCTTTGCCAATTACAAGTTTGAAAAAAAACATAATATATTATTTTGGATGGTATCTCAGATACGATTTGACCCGCTTGATTATTGGGAGTGAGGGGACTTTGGGAGTCATAACTGAGGTTACTCTCCGGCTTCAGAAAATTCCACAGCATTCAGTGGTATATTGACTTCTTCCTTTATAGTAGGTTTTCCTTGGTTTTGTTTGAAAGATTCCTACTTTCATGACTTGCCTGATAGAACACCTTTCCGCAATAGTTAGCAAACTTCCTTATGATCTGGTGTCAAGGCATATGTATGATATATTTCAGGTGGCAATGTGCAATTTTCCTACGGTCAAGGATGCTGCAGACGTGGCCATTGCCACTATGTTTTCTGGAATACAGGTTAGACCTCTGCTTCTGAATGATGGGATTTAAAACTTTTTATCATAATCGTCTCAGATGTACCTATATCCTCATCAGGTGTCAAGAGTGGAGCTCCTTGACGAGGTTCAAATCAGGGCTCTTAATATGGCCAACGGGAAAAACTTGAATGAACTTCCAACTCTGATGTTTGAATTCATAGGGACAGGTGAGACTGCATCATAGTTCTTGTACTTTCCAAGTCCTTTCAAGCTATCTAAGTTTATACATCTCTTGTATCAGTGTTACTCTATGTTATCCGCATGTGTTAAAGAAAGCATATCCATTGTCTTCTAATTCTGCTTATCATTTTTACTTTTGTTTCCTTTTCTCTCTCATTTAGAGGCATATGCACGTGAGCAGACTCAAATTGTTCAGCAAATTGCTTCTAAACACAATGGAACAGACTTCGTATTTGCAGAAGAACCTGAAGCAAAAAAGGAACTCTGGAAGGTAAAAATCTAAAAGAGAAGCAGAAAAGAAGGGAAAATATGTACTTGCTGTACTTACGAAAGGCTCTACTTTCTCTGACTCTATGATTATGCAGATAAGAAAGGAGGCCCTGTGGGCTTGCTTTGCGATGGCGCCAGGTTATGAAGCAATGATTACGGTATCTTATTTTCTTTATATACACTATGGTCGTACATGAACTTTTCCAGCTACAGTTAGGAACCGCAAATCATGCTATGACTACTTTTCATGCTATGCCATAAACCTTTTTGTTGTTTACTTTATTTCGTATTTATAAAGTGCTGATCAATCTCTGTAACTATTCCGACAGGATGTCTGTGTCCCTTTGTCGCACCTTGCAGAACTAATATCAAGTTCCAAGAAAGAGCTTGACGCATCACAACTATTGTGGTATCTTAGTTACCTATGCTCAGCATCATGAATATACTTATCTAGCATCGTCGTGCTGTGGAGCTGTGTGCTGACCATTGTTGTTCTACTTTCAGTACCGTCATTGCGCATGCCGGAGATGGAAACTTTCATACATGTATTATGTTCGATCCGAGCATCGAAGAGCAGCGGAGAGAAGCAGAAAGATTGAACCACTTAATGGTTCACAGTGCACTGTCCATGGATGGTAAATGCCTTTTCCATTCTCTGTGTTTTGAAAAAGTACTAGACTGTAGCAGATGTAGACCTTTTTAGCAAAGTTTTAGAGTAGAAATAAACAAAAACAAGTATTAGAGACCTGTAGGAGTAACATGTTTGTCCCTTCTGGTAGAAAAAATCAAGTTGTATATGTTACTGAAGTTGTAAAAACAAGCGAGTCCATTCTGAAAATGCACTTTGTTCAATTTATCAGGAACGTGTACTGGCGAGCACGGTGTTGGAACAGGGAAAATGAAGGTAACTCTTGCCTAAACCTATACCTGCCTTTTAATTGCCAAAACAAAATTCCCATGTCAGAGATAGAAAATCTAGATTACCTCTGTTTTTGGCATCATTGCTTGTTGAAACACATGCTTATATTTGTATGAATGTGTGTACTTTGAGACTTGAAATGGGTTTTTTGGTTCATGTCATGGAAGTATCTGGAGAAGGAACTGGGGATAGAAGCACTGCAAACTATGAAGAGAATCAAGAAAGCGTTGGACCCTAACGATATCATGAACCCGGGAAAGCTAATTCCTCCTCATGTTTGTTTCTAAAAATGCCCTTGTGGATGTGGTCAGTGAAACTCCAAAATGATTTTTGGTTGCTCTTGTGGGGTGATAGAATAATAAGAGGTCTTATGTTTTTTTGTGTAACATTGTATCTTTAGTCTCATACTGTTACTCTTTCGTCGGTAAAAGCCAACGTTTCATTTTAAGTACAAAATAGCTGATGCAAGCATTTGTAACAATAGTTACGTTTTGTACCGATCACCATTTGTAATTGGATAAGATCATTTGAAGGAATTGTAAGTGCAATATTACGTCGTATTCTTATCAATATCTTATTACATGCGATTTTCAATAATGAATTGTAGAATTTTCTGCGTCTTTTCAGTTTTGACTTTTGACAAATCATAAGAAGAAAAGTCGATAGGAAGGACGAAGTCACATGAGACGAATCAGCCGCAAAACAATAAAAACGTGGGCTCCCTTTTGAGATATATCTCCATGGGAACGTGATCCATCTCTCTAAAGATTCTTCTATAATTATATACACTCCCTACTTACCCATTTGGTACGTATTGCAATTTACGAATACACCCTTTGTCACATTCCTTGCCTCTATATATTTCACATTACATGACACTGATGCATATATCCAAGAAGAAGAAAAAAAAATGGGGTCATTAGGAGAACAACCACAAGTAACAGAAGACTGCATGGGTTTGCTTCAACTTCTAAGCAACGGCGCCGTTTTAAGATCCAAGAGCATTGATCTCATTGCCCAACAAATCCCAATCAATAACCACCAAACCGTTCTCTTCAAAGACTCTATCTTTGACAAACCCAACAATCTTCACCTCCGTCTCTACAAACCCGTTTCCGCCTCTAACCGTACCGACCTCCTCCCCGTCGTCTTCTTCTTCCACGGCGGTGGCTTCTGCTTTGGCTCACGCTCTTGGCCTCTTTTTCACAACTTCTGTCTAACTCTTGCATCGTCCCTCCACGCCGTTGTGGTCGCACCGGACTGCCGTTTAGCACCGGAACACCGTCTCCCGGCCGCCTATGAGGATGCCGAGGCCGCTCTTGTCTGGGTCCGGGACCAGGCTGTTTCCGGTGATGTGGACCACTGGTTCGAAGGTGGACCGGGCGTTGACTTCGACCGTGTTTATGTCCTTGGTGATTCCTCCGGTGGGAACATAGCTCACCACCTTGCTTTCCGGTTCGAGTCCGGTTCAACCGAGCTAAGTCCGGTTCGAGTTCGTGGTTACGTTCTCTTGGGTCCGTTTTTTGGCGGGGAGGAGAGGACTAAATCCGAGGATGGCCCATCGGAAGCTTTGCTGAGCTTGGATTTGCTTGACAAGTAAGCTAACACAACACTTACTATATTTTAATCTTATTTAGACGTACCGAATATATTTTGCTTGTGTATAAACATTAAAATATATACAAGTTCATTGAATCACTTACTAATAACTATCAACTATTTAATTTATACTACATTATTATATTGGGTAGTATAGATGTCGTTTTCGGTTACTTTAATTTCATATTATCCTTTTATTCGAGTAATGCCAATTAAATCGTTGGAGTGAATTGCCGAGTCGCATGAGAGAGACAGCTAGAGTCACAGTGCCTCTTCATGAATACACAGAAATATATACATGTCTTTTTTTTTTCTTCCAAAACTATACAATTGACTGTATTCATAGACTCTTAGTCGAATACGTATACACGAAGATAGTTTTATCTTAATCCCATATCGAGAGAAAGAAAAAAAATCCTCTAACGAAAACTAAAGATCATGAACTTGTTTGAAAATTATAAACATACGACAGTATATCCTATAAAATATCACATATATAGTTACGTATCATATCGAACTCGCCAGCTAGTTCAAAGGGTGTAGCAATTCTGTGACACAAAAAGAAAAAACACAGAACTTTCCAAGGAAAACGACATTTCGTACCAGTATACGTTTATTTTGTTTAGAAACTTATACACAAATAAAAATGACTGTTATATAAGATAGTGATATATTTTAAAGAATAAGATAGTGATATAGTTTTTCTTTTATCTTTACTCTTCCAATAATTTCAACGTGAAAAATAATAATAATATCGATTGCTGACGTACATCACATGATTGTTAAAATATTACGTCAAAAAATTTAGTCAATGCGCTTTATCTACTATACTATTCCACTATTTGATCATATAGCCTCAAAATCATTTAGCAATAAAAATGGCTTTTCAAATATTTGGGTCTTGCATCATAGTGACTACACGAATCGGTCGTGGGAAAAAACACCCACTAGATGGACGACAACTTAGAAAGTATCTTCTATGGAAAGTAATCGAAATTGAAAAACTAAAAAGAAACTTGATTAAAAAAAAATCGTGACAACCAACTAGAGACCCTACCATTTGACGATTCTAAATGGAACAAAAAACTGTTACTTGTTTGGAAACTATGTCAAACTCAACATAACAACTATACAACTAGCCTTAATTCTACAAAAACGATATTTAATTACAAGAATTATGTTAAACACTACGTTTACAATAATCCTAAAACAAGTTATATACAAAATTATAAGTGTAAAATGTCGAGCTTTACAAAGTCCACTTACCAATGATCAACATTAGCAAGGTTTGTGTAATGTTGCAAATTTATGTAGTCTTAGGTCATTATTTATGAATAAATGGCTTAGTGTGGTTGAAGGAATTCATTTTCGGAACGGAGAATAGTCCAAAGTCGAAGAAACAGATAATCAGATATCAAGAACAGTAGTTGATATATTTGGAACGGAGATAGTGCGTCATGCATTATCCTCGTTTCCTTTACTATCTCAGCTTAAATGTGCTTATGTTTCTTGTGAGTCGCGTGACCAACATTGCTTGCACACAACATAGATAAAACCAAACGCAAATATATAACGTCTCAAATTTTAAAAATAATATTTAGCATATTCGTTCATGTTGAATTATCAACGTGGAGTCATGGGAATCACATATCATCCATTTATTCTCTCCAATTGATCGTTCTACTATTTATATTTGACCTATTAGATGATTGACCCGTTTTGTTCATGGCCATTGTCATAAATCCATGTGTATAGTAAATATTGGTATGGTCAATGTCACTATATAATATTAATAATTGATATTAAAAAAGAGAGAAATTAAAAAAGGCTAAAGTTTCATTTCTTGTAGGTTTTGGAGACTGTCACTACCAAAAGGTGCAACAAGAGATCATCCCATGGCAAACCCTTTTGGCCCCACGAGTCCCAGACTCGAATCGGTTAACATTGAGCCAATGCTGGTGATCGCAGGCGGCTCAGAACTCCTGAGAGATAGGGCCAAAGAGTATGCATATGGATTGAAGAAGATGGAAGGGAAAAATGTAGATTACATTGAATTCGAAAACGCGGAACATGGATTCTACAACCACAATCCATCTTCCGATGCTACGGAACAGCTTCTTCGCGTCATTGGAGACTTTATGGACAACCTCTCTAATGTACTTTAGCATGTGGCTTGTCGTAGCTAAAGTCATTAAGAGAGTTTAGGATTCCATACAATAAGTTTTGCTTGGTGCTTGGTGAATCATATTATATACACACATAAAGCATACAATGTTTTTTGGTTTCGTTATATATATCTTTGTTCATCGTATCCATCTTAAATGGTACTATATACTAAAAATTCTTGAAACGTGTTCAATTGTTTCATAAACAAGTCACTGTGGCTAGCAGTGGAGGCGTAGAGCTAGGCTACTAGTCTACGAGATATCGATGCTGAGACACACCGAAAGAGACGAGAAAAGATAGAACATAAATCCGTCTCAATAGTCAGACTCTACTATTGAGACTTTGGGTTTCGGTACAGTCACGCTTGCAGAGGAGAAATAAAAAGAAGAGCTCACAATATTAGCTAAAAACACATAGGATGGGATTAATTAACTAGTTGAAAAGACGAGAGTAATAAAGATAACACCACCACAATATTAAAATAACAACTGAGAGTTTTGGATAGAAAGAAATTATTAGGCAACTAGATAAGAAGCTTGATGCTTTTGTGTAGTCAGCAATACTCTTCGTCTTCAAAAGAGAAGAGTCGACGGAAAAGCGATCTTGGCCAACGAGCTTCAGTATCTGGTGAGTACTTCTTAAACGGAGCTGCTAAGAAGACACGGTAACCTGAGCTAGCAAACAATGAAAGCCTATCGCAGAACAAGGAGTCGTTTTTGACTTGATCCGACACTACGAACAAAAGTGATGGAGGAGGGAAGTCCGTTGCCCAGAAATGGATGTCATGTAACATTCTACAACGTCTCTTGTATTTATCAGCCCCTGGAAATTCAATTCATTACCGGAACTGATGAGATCATATAGTCTATATATATATATATAAATTTATAAGAAAATCCGAGGAAAAATCAAAATCAAAAGCACCTCCGGGAAGGAAGTAGATTCTGGAATCCCAAGTCTTGTCTGTGAGATAAGAAGACCCAAACCAAGGCCCTTCCTTATCCGTCTCATCAACATAAACCCATATGTATGTGTGACCCGTAATATCCTCATCACCCTCATGTAAATATAATTCGATTCTTTTATGGATCTCATCAGGACTCATACCACGAGGTAATGGGAAACCCACGGCGTCCCAGAACACGCCTGAGTGAGACCTTTTCACCACGGCTGTGCGGTTGAGTTACCAAATCAACGAGATTATCATCCAAATCCAATCACCATTTTATTACATATAAACAAACAGTGAGAGACTTCTTACCGGCGAAATCTTCGTCATCTGAACAACAAATTAGAAAAGGTCAAATAAACGAATTACAGCACAATGATGAAATATTGAAATCTTTAACAATAAAATAAAATAAGAATAACAGAGAGAGACATCTTACCGGAGATATCTTCGTTCTTCCTCTCTTCGACATCTGAAGAATTTGCGAATAGGTCAAATAAACAAATTATATGAAATCTATAACAATTAAAAATATATATATATAACAAATTCGGCCAAAGGATGGAGATAGATCTTACCGGAGATATCTTCTGTCTTCCCGGCCATGGTTCAACGGAGAGAATTGGAGACTTTTCTCGCCAAATTAGAGGTTTCGATTGGGCTTTAATTTGAATGAGAGAGCGTTTTATCGACATCCTATAATCATCTGTGTTTTTACCTTTCAGACCTTGTATCTCAATTATAATATTAAAAAAAATTAAAGGTGCCAGATCTGTGGCATGTTTTCAACCGTCAGATCAAAAATGTTTTAGTGCTTAGTGGGGATGATGAATGATTTTACGATGATACCCGAACAAAAAAAGAAAAGGATTTTTTTTTGTTTTTTCGAACAACCAAAAAAGAAAAGGATTATTGTTGATTTTGGAACTAATATATATATATGGGACTGTATTACAATTTACAAGTATCATGCCCCGGCTTAACCGCTTCACTTTTGCAAATTCACACTTTTGCGGTACTAAAAAAAAATTATTTACTTGTGTTATAAAGATAGTGATGACAGTCAGTTGCATGTGTCCTCTTACGAAACTTAAAAGTTAGCATTATTAGGTCGAGCAGAGCTTAGAGGAATAAAACTTCATGCATATCAATTGAAGCCCAATTAAAGACAGAGTTTAACAAAACAAAGATGAAACATGATACATTAGCCCCATAAATTTATTTCGACACAGAATATCATCAATTGTAATCACAAGCGCATTTCGGCTTGGTTATGGGCTCTGCCTCTCCATCTAAACCTCGTGGACAAGCAACTGCTGACTCTAAAGATTCAAGAAATTGATCACCACTGTCACCAACAGGCGTGTTTACTAGGAGAACATCGTGATCTCTCGATTGCAACTCACCATGATCTTAATTACAAGAATTATGTTCAACACTACGTTTGAAATAATCTTAAAACAAGTTATATACAAAATTATAAGTGTAAAATGTCGAGCTTTACAAAGTCCACTTACCAATGATCAACATTAGCAAGGTTTGTGTAATGTTGCAAATTTATGTAGTTTTAGGTCATTGTTTATGAATAAATGGCTTAGTGTGGTTGAAGGAATTCATTTTCGGAACAGAGACAGACTGATAGTCCAAATGTCGAAGAAACAGATAATCAGATATCAAGAACAGTAGTTGATATATTTGGAACGGGGATAGTGCGTCATGCATTATCCTCGTTTAATTTCCTTTACTATCTCAGCTTAAATTTGCCTATGTTTCCCGTGAGGCGTGAGTGTCGTGACCAACATTGCTTGCACACAACATAGATAAAACCAAACGCAAATATATATATATAACGTCTCAAAATTTAAAAATAATATTTAGCATATTCGAATGTACATATTCGTTCATGTTGAATTATCAACGTGGAGTCATGGGGATGGGGATCACATATCATCCATTTATTCTCTCCAATTGATCGTTCTACTTTTTATATTTGAACAATCAGATGATTGACCCGTTTTGTTCATGGCCATTGTCATAAAGCCATGTGTATAGTAAATATTGGTATGGCCAATGTCAGTATATAATAATTGATATTAAAAAAAGAGAGAAAAGAAAAGGGCTAAAGTTTCATTTCTTGTAGGTTTTGGAGATTGTCACTACCAAAAGGTGCAACAAGGGATCATCCCATGGCTAACCCTTTTGGCCCCACGAGTCCCAAACTCGAATCGGTTAACATAGAGGCAAATGCTGGTGATCGCCGGCGGCTCAGAACTCCTGAGAGATAGGGCCAAAGAGTATGCATATGGATTGAAGAAGATGGAAGGGAAAAGAGTAGATTACATTGAATTCGAAAACGAGGAACATGGATTCTACAACCACAATCCATCTTCCGATGCTACGGAACAGCTTCTTCGTATCATTAGAGACTTTATGGACAACCTCTCTAATATATTTTAGCATTTGGCTTGTCGTAGCTAAGGTCATTTGCATCAGTTACGAATATTCCAGGCATAAGTTTTGCTTGTTGCCTGGTGAATCATATTATATACAATTAAAGCATACAATGATTTTGGTTTCCTTGTATCCTTGTTCATCGTATCTAACTTAAATGGTATAAACTAAAAATTCTTGAACGTGTTCATTTGTTCATCTAACTTAAACGGAGAAATCTCCTCTCATACGTTATGGTAATCACTTGGATCAGGTTTGATACTAATCTCAAGCAAACAAGGCTCTGTTTATCTAAAGCATCACTTGCGGATGTTTTTATTTACTTGTGTTATAAAGATAGTGATGACAGTCAGTTCATCAGTTGCATGTGTCTTCTTACGAAACTAAAAAAAAGATAAGCATTATTAGGTCGAGCAGAGCTTAGAGGAATAAAACTGCATGCATATCATTTGAAGCCAAAGACAAAGTTTAACAAAACAAAGATGAAACATGATACATTAGCCCCATAAATTTATTTCGACACAAAATATCAACAACTGTAAGTACAAACGCAGTACGGCTTGGTTATGGGGTCTCTCTCTCCATGTAAACCTTCTATAACACCAACTAGTGACTCTGCAGATTCAAGAAATTGACCACCACTGTCACCAACAGGCGGGTCTACTAGGAGAACATCGTGATCTCTCGAATGCAAACACTCGAGCACCCTGTGCAACTCACTATTTTTGTCTGGTTTTGGGATTACCATTAAAATTGCTGGAAGATCACAGGTCTGTTCCGTGATCATAAGAACGTCCAAATAGATTTCACTAGGATCTGAGGAATGCAATATACCAACAGATTACAAACATATATATAGTAATAAATAGAAACGAACGAGGAAGAGTGTGTTGAGTGTATTATAGTAATTCACCTCCGATACCGCCATTCTTTAGTACATCTTCGAGATCGGCATCCGGGAGTTGTTCACGTTCTACACCGTAAGAAATTTCGGCTTCCCAAAAGACATCTTTTCGGTCGAGTAAGGATTTGTCCCCATACCCATAGATTCGCAACGAACCATGCAAGCCCATTCCATGAAGAACTGATCTGATAGTAGGTTTAACACTAGGAAGCGTATCAGGAGGGATTGGGCACTTGATCAAGTTCCAGAAGACCAGTGTCGGCCTCTCACCACCTTGACAAACCAATAACCATACAATAATATTAATAGGTTACATTATGAGATCCATTACCATTCATTCACTAATCTAAAGCAAACATACAATTTCGAGTAAAGGATCTTACAGTCTAAATCTTCCTTCTTTACGCCCGTGTCGTAATACGGGTCGCGGAGCTGACCCCCTTCCACCACGACTGTGCGGTTGAATTACCAAATCAAATAGATTAATTATGATCCAAATCCAAATCTTAAGCAAACAATTTCGGGTAGAGGATGGAGAGAGACTTCTTACCGGAGAAATCTTCGTTACGGAAAATCTTCTTACCCGAGATACCTTCGGACTTCCTATCTTCGACTTCTTTGGCATCTGAACAAATTGCAATAGGTCAAATAAACGAACTACAATACAATGATGAAATCTGTGACAATAAAAACAAAAACTAACAAATTCGGCTAAAGGATTGGGAGAGATCTTACCGGAGATATCTTCGGTCTTCCCGGCCATGGTTCAACGGAGAGAAGAGAATCGGAGACTTTCTGGCCAAATTAGGTTTAGATTGGGCTTTGAATGGATGGCTGAGAGAGAGCGTTTTATCGACATCCTATATAGTCATCTGTGTTTTTACCTTTCAGACCTTGGATCTCAAATATAATATTAAGGAAAATTTAACAAAATTAAGGGTGTTAGATCTGTGGCATGTTTTCAACCGTCAGATCGACCTGTACATTTCTGGAGGATCAAACATGTTTTAGAGTTTGATTGGTTCTCTCCATTTCACTCGCAAACGCAGTTTTTTTTAGTGGTAGCGGTTGTTACCTTGTTACCGTTTGACAAAAATCATTGCAAACACTCTCTACCCGTTTAAAATTGTTCAAATGATCACTCAAGATCTTTCAAAACTGAAAGCTCATTCTCAGCAACGGTATGTACACAGATTACAGATAAACAATAAATAAAAATTTAAAAATTAAAAAACACAAATTTATTTTAAATCATGATATATATACAATAATCTTTATAAAAAAATAAGATTTGAATATTATAATCATAAAATCAATTAAAATTTGATATTATTATTAGTTAATATTCATCAAAGATATCATAATTTTTTCTTTATAATCTTATTATATAAAGCTGGATGCGCGCGACGTGGTTGCGACACGTAGGATTTTTATAAAATATAGGATCGCGACATGTGTCACTTTTAAAGATTATGTCCGTTAAGATCGTGACACGTGTTTTAGGGGAAAAAAAATTTGTTTTAAAAAAAAAATACTAGAAATAGGATAATTAAAAAACAAAATTTAATTAAAAAAAACGAAATTTAATCTATTTTATTTTATAAGAAAAATTAATATTTGTCATATCCTAACAGAAAAAGGTTTTCCCATTCATCAAATTAATATTATCCAAACACATATCTTATTATAAAATAAGATTGAAAATAATGTAATAAATCAAAATCCTATTACTACATGGAATAGGTACGTAAACTAAAATTCCTATATCTGCAAGGAATATGTTATATGAACACCTATAAATACAAAGTTACAGTAGTCTCTTTTTTCTCATTTACAAACTCATTAAAGCAAATTCATTAAATTTCTCTGATTCTCTTTCTCTAATTTAAAAATCATGTCTTTGAATGTTCAAGAAAATAGTGAAGATTATTTGACTCTAGCTCAATTGGATCGAAATCGAAATTATCGCCGTACTATAGTACGTGTTATTCGAAAGTGGAAAGTTAGAAATCCAAAAGAAAATAATATTCTTATGGGAGTTGAGCTTCTACTACTTGATGAAAAAGTTAGTAAGAAAATATATAATTTACAATAAATTGTTACATCCATTAAGAAACGGAAAAAAACATATTCCCAATACAAGAAGGAAAAAAAACAATATATAATAAGTTACACCCTTCATGATTTAATTGTGTTGTTTAAATTTTCTTTCTTATTAAGAAATGAAAAATCATGTCTTTAAAAGTTCTAGATATCAATGAAGAATATTTAATTTTAGATCAGTTGGATCAAAATCAAAACTACTGCCGCACCATGTATAATATTTGATCAGATTATAACATGTGTTAATACAAGAAAATTAGAAAAAATTAATAACAAAACGAAAAATTGTAAAACAACTAACTAATAATGAAAAGAAAAATTTATAATGGTCCGAGGCAAAAAAATATTATAAAAGAAAGAATATAAATAGAAAGCTAACAAAATAATTATCAACAGCTAACTAATATTAAAAAGAAATTTTATTTTGGTCCGATATTCTAATTTTAAATAGTTTATTTTCAAACTTTTGTTAGGTCAAAAAATATTAAAAAATTGATTTCATCAACTGAAATCTCTTCGATGGAATAATCAAAGTTTCACGTATTAATTAGTCCATCAGATTTAAACACATGTAAGTATTTCTATATTTGATAAAAATAAGATAACACAAATTAATTCATTTTTCGTATCATGAATTCAAAACAAATGTCAATTATAATAAAAATATAAAAAGATTACTAATCTTATTTTATTTAGTGATTTGTTATCGGGTTTTTATTATTATTCTATTTACTTTTAAAAATGATTATATTATGTTTAATAATTTTCCAGGATTTATTTCAAAAAAATTATAATAAACCCGCGTATACGCGGGGCCTAATCTAGTATTTTATAAACCAAATTTCTTTTGATAAATGTTTTACTCATCTAATACATATTTCCATTGTCCCATATTATAAGCAGTTAAGTAAAATGAATCTGAAAAAAAAGGTGGATATATCTGGATGTAATTGCATGATGTACTTTATCTTTTATGGCAAAACATAAATAACAAATAAAATCAAGAAGATTTTTTTTTAAATAGAACAATAATGTGGTTGAATTTGTTATGCGTATGTTTGATAAATTACTTCCCTTCCCTTTTAAAATGTAAATTTGATTTTGGTTAAAGAAACCAAAGATATATAGTTGTTATGCTGAATCACATATCGATATTAAAAAAAAAACAATTATGTTTGGAAAATAGTTTATTTTTAAAAAGATTATCAACATTTTAATATGATAACAAACTATTTGGTTACATTACTGGCGCGTAGGTGGAATACCATCTAGTAATAATAATACTGTTTGATGACGTACATCACATGCTTGTTAAAATATTACGTCAAAAAATTAGTCAAACTGCTTAATCTACTATACAACTCCTAGTTTGATGATGTAGTCTCAAAATCATTTAGCATTAAAAATGGCTTTTCAAATATTTGGGTCTTCCATCACGGTGACTACACGAATCGGTCGTGGAAAAAAACACCCACTAGATGGGCGACAACTTAGAAAGTATCTTCTATGGAAGGTAATCGAAATTGATAAACTAAAAAGAAACTTGATTAAAATAAAAATGTAAATAATGTCTCAAATTTTAAAAATAATATTTAGCATATTCGAATGTGCATATTCGTTCATGTTGACTTATCAACGTGGAGTCATGGGGATCACATATCATTCATTTCTTCTCTTCTCCTTTAGATCGTTCTACTTTTTATATCTGAAATATTAGATGATTGACCCGTTTTGTTCATGGCCATTGTCATAAAACCATGTGCATAGTAAATATTGGTATGGTCAATGTCACTATATAATATTAATAATTGATATTAAAAAAGAGAGAAATTAATTAAAAAAGGCTAAAGTTTACCAAGCGAACAATCAATCACCAAGCGAGAAGGGAAATAAGGTTTACTGGTTTGTGTGGTTTTCTCTTAGTCTGAAAAACGGAGAATCGGGGATGTTACGGTGTTTGTTTCATGAAGGTCTTAGTCAACTTAATCAGATTATGGTCTCTTCATATCTTGAATCGGTTAACAATTATTTGTGAGATGATCCCATTACCATAGTTTTGGTGCTTTTTGTTCAGATTAGTCTTTTTGACTTTGATTTGGTTGTACTGTATGCTGACTTTGCTTTTAAGATTTTGATGGGGTTTGCTTTGGTTCTAATGGAATTCTACGACTGGGTTCTAATAGGTGAATTTCAAAAGGAAAACTGTGGCATACAAGAATTGGAATCAGGATTAAAATTATACAATCATCAACTATACATGACTTGCACTTTGCTTCTCATTTATTTTGATGATTTTACATTTGTTTTTGTTTTGGGAGAGAGGAATCTATATTTTAATTATCAAATCTGCCTAGCTTACAATGATACACGGCTAAGAGGATTTGGGAAAGATTGTGATGCCATCAAGTTGCAGGGAGATCAAATGCATTACGAGTATTACGAGTGGGAGGATATCAGGTTTGAGTGGAAATACTATGGAGATTTTAAAGGTTGGGGTTCTCTCATGAGTTTGGTAGCTTCAATGGTTGATTGGTCTGGTCTTAAAGGTGTTGACTCTTTTTCTATATGTGGTGATTGTCTTGAGTTCCGATCGGTTACGAGAGACAGTTTTGAAAAGAAAATCTATGGGTTTGAGTTTACAAAACTAAAAGGGAGGAGTTGTTTAAAAAAGGGTAATGAAAACTTTTATCACTGGCCTACTACAAGAAGTACAAATCGTAATTTTTTGGCCCAAGATACGATCCTGGTGAGAGGAGAACATTCCATTGGGTCTATTTACTATTGTAGCTGGTTTGCATACATGATGACATTCGAGCCGATGGAGCCCACCACTAGGGTTCCTAACCGTTTTCACAAATGCATTTGGAGGTTTCATGGGCAAAGCTATACGTGTTTGTTAATTGGAGGACCAACTAGAGTCACACCTAGTTCTCTTTTATCTAAGCCGATAGCTATTTACGACCAAGGAATGATATTAGTGACATACTGCTGGAGGAGAAACGGTTTCACTGGAAATGTGTGGTGTGGTGAGAATGAAACGGGATACAAACTCGCCAAAGGAAAAATAATTTTGCCAAATGAGAGTTCTTAGTTGGAATTGTCAGGGTTTAGGGAATCCGTTTACAATTAGTCATCTACGAGAACTCTGGGGGAAGTTCAAACCTGAGTTTCTATTTCTTTCTGAAACGAAACAGGGGTTTGGTTTTGTCCAGCAATTCCAATTTCATTTTGGCTATGACAGGGTTTTTACGGTGGAACCGACTGGTGCGAGTGGGGGATTGGCGCTGTTCTATAACAATTCATATGATGTCAATATCGTTTGTTCAAATAAAAGGATTATTGACATTGAGGCCCGACATGAAGGAAATGTGATCTTCATGTCTTTTGCCTATGGGGATCCAGTGGTTAAGTTGCGGGATCTTGTCTGGGAACGGATTACAAGAATTGGAACAACAAGAACAGAACTTTGGTTTCTTATTGGTGATTTTAATGAGATCACAGGAAATCATGAGAAACAAGGTGGAGCCTTACGTCAAGCATCGTCTTTTGTCCCTTTTAATTTGATGATTAGTGATTGTGGCTTTGTCGATTTCCCAAGCCGTGGAAATACATTGTCATGGAGGGGACGAAGAAAAGGGAGAATAGTGAGATGCATGCTGGATAGAGCATTAGCAACGGAAGAATGGCATGATCTCTTTCCGGTCTCCCATGTTCAGTACTTGCCAATGATTGGTTCTGATCATAGACCAATATTAGCTACTCTGGACTCCAAAGTAACAAAGCGGCGAAAACAATTTCGGTTTGATAAAAGGTGGATTGGCCTGGAGGGACTCATGGACTCTATTGAGCGGGGGTGGAACTATACTCGGGGGGAGGTTTCACCGGGATTGGTTGATAGGATTGGTAACTGCCGCCATGAGGTATCGGTATGGAGGACGGAGAAACAACCTTATGGGAAACAGAAGATAGAGGAATTACAACGGGCACTGGAAGAGGTTCAAAATGATGACAATAGTACTCAAGAGGAGCTTATCGACATCACAAACAAACTGAAGGAAGCATATAGAGACGAAGAGGAATATTGGAAACAGAAGAGTCGAAATTTGTGGCTAAAAGATGGAGATTTAAATACGAAATTCTTCCATGCCTCGACGAAACAACGGAGAGCAGCTAATAGGATTGTCGGTCTACATAATGACGACAACGTATGGGTAGCTGGAGAAAAAGAGGTGGAAAAGGTAGCAGTCGGTTATTTTGACAAACTGTTCACGTCAACTTTACCGACGGATTTCACGGGAGTACTCGCGCATATGCCACACCGGATTACTGCGCAGGAAAATGAACTTTTAACTCGTCGTGCGACAGAGATGGAGGTACATGCAGCGCTATTCATGATGCATCCAGAGAAAGCACCAGGACCGGATGGCATGACTGTGTTATTTTTTCAACGTTCATGGCATATAGTTAAAAATGATATTCTCAAGATGGTTAATAATTTTCTCACATCGGGTACTTTTGATGAAAGATTGAATATGACCCACATTTGTCTGATCCCAAAAACGGGACGACCGAATAGGATGACAGAGTTACGACCGATCAGCCTATGTAATGTGGGTTATAAGATCATTTCCAAAGTCCTCTGTCAGAGACTCAAAGGGATCTTACCTAGGTTGATTTCGGAAACTCAGTCTGCTTTTGTACCGGGCCGGCTAATTTCTGATAACATACTGATAGCTCAGGAGATGTTCCATGGACTCCGGACGAATAAATCATGTAAAGGAAAATTTATGGCAGTAAAAACAGATATGAGCAAGGCTTATGATCGGGTTGAATGAAGCTTTCTAGAAGCGTTAATGAGGAAAATGGGCTTTGCGGAACAATGGATCTCATTGATGATGCGATGTATTACATCAGTTAAGTACATAGTGTTACTCAATGGTCAACCAAAAGGGAAAATAACTCCCCGCCGAGGTTTACGACAAGGGGATCCATTATCCCCGTATCTCTTTATTCTGTGTACGGAAGTTCTGATAGGAAATCTGAGATGGGCAGAAGAACATAAAAGTATTACAGGCCTTAAGGTGGCTAGGGCAAGTCCAGCAGTGTCTCATCTCTTTTTTGCGGATGACAGCCTGTTTTTTTGTAGAGCGAATGTTGACGAAAGTCGGGTGTTACTCCAAATCTTGAAAGAGTATGAGATCACCTCTGGGCAGCAAATTAATTTTGGAAAATCATCAGTACAATTTGGTCATACGGTGGAGGCAAGCGTGCGGGCGGAGATACATCAAGTTTTGGGAATTAGCAATGTGGGGGGTGTCGGGAACTATCTTGGGATTCCAGAAAGCATTGGGGGCGCAAAGACAAAGATTTTTAGTTTTTTGGTAGATCGACAACACCAACGAATGAACGGTTGGAACTCAAAGTGGTTGTCAAAAGGGGGAAAAGAAGTTCTTATTAAGTCAGTGGCTTCATCGATGCCTATGCACGTAATGTCATGCTTTCGTCTGCCCAAAGGGATTACGAATAAGATGACTAGTGCAGTCTCCAATTTCTGGTGGAGTAATAATGGCCAAACTCGTGGTATGCATTGGATGGCTTGGAAAAAGTTATGTCGGCACAAGAATGATGGTGGATTAGGATTTCGGGTTATTGAGGACTTTAACACGGCTTTACTTGCCAAACAACTATGGCGGCTAATAGACTACCCCGAATCGTTATTTGCACGAGTTTTCAAAGGACGGTATTACCGGAACTCTACTCCTTTAGACCCTATTAGATCATACTCTCCTTCTTACGGATGGCAGAGTATAGTATCGGCTCGACCTCTGGTACAAAAAGGACTTATTAAAAGGGTTGGTTCAGGAACATCTATCTCAGTTTGGGATGATCCATGGATTCCAGCTTCTAGCCCGAGGCCAGCCACATGAGATGGGATTAATTTTTACCCTCATCTTCGGGTGAGTGAACTAATAAATCCCATCACAGCAACGTGGAATTTTCCACTATTGAATCAATTGTTTGACAGTACGGATGTCTCCATGATCATCGGGATTCCCACATCACATGTTTCCCGACCAGATTCCATGGGATGGTTTTTTACGAAGACAGGTCGGTATACGGTTAAATCGGGATACGCGCTAGCACAAAAAATGCTGGCGAATGATAGCCCCAATTTCTTTGGACCCGATACACGGAGGCTCCAATCACATGTGTGGAAAGTACGATGCACTCAGAAATTACAACATTTTATTTGGCAAGCTCTGACGGGCTGTATAGCAGTCGGAGCACGACTACGGAGTCGTGGCATGCAGATAGATCCACAATGTATGCGTTGTGGAATGGCCCCAGAAACAGTGAATCACACTTTGTTTGAGTGTCCACCGGCATTACAGGTTTGGGCATTATCTCCAATCCCAACGGTTCCCAATCAATTTCCGACAGAGGGGCTGTTTACAAATATGGCACACCTGTTCTGGCACTTACCAAAAGATGAAAGGATGGGGATGTACCCTTGGTTAATTTGGTACATTTGGAAAGCTCGAAATGATAAGGTTATGGAAAATGTGGACTGGGACCCAAATGAGATAATTGTTAAAGCGGCAGCGGAGAGTTTGGCATGGGCAGCGGCCCAGGAACGACGAGCGACGGCGCATTCCCACACAGAAACCCTAGTGCAAACACCGATATCAGGTGACATTTGTCAGGTGGACGGGGCTTGGAAAGACACAGAGTGTAGAGCTGGTTTAGGATGGTACTTTTTCAACACGGATTCTCCTGATAAACTTATGGGAACATGTAATTTGAGGCGGGGAATATCCCCACTTCAGTCAGAGCTGGAGGCTCTCATTTGGGCCATGCAATGCATGATACGGCATAACAAATTGGTAATGGTGTTTCAGACGGACTGTTCCGATGTGGTGAAGATGGTGTCTAAACCAGAGGAGTGGCCGGCGTTCTCAACACTACTTGACGAGGTTGACAGATGTAAGAGGAGATTCACCTCCTTCAACATCATGCATATTCCAAGGACGAACAACACGAAGGCAGACAAGTTAGCACGAAGTGCTCGAGATCTACCTACAGATGTGTATTATGTAAACTCTATTTCACCAGTTTGGATTCCCGAGCTGTTGTAGAAATAAAGGCTGTTGATAAAAAAAAAAGGCTAAAGTTTCATTTCTTGAAGGTTTTGGAGACTGTCACTACCAAAAGGTGCAACAAGGGATCATCCCATGGCTAACCCTTTTGGCCCCACGAGTCCCAGACTCGAATCGGTTAACATTGAGCCAATGTTGGTGATCGCCGGCGGCTCAAAACTCCTGAGGGATAGGGCCAAAGAGTATGCATATGGATTGAAGAAGATGGAAGGGAAAAAAGTAGATTACATTGAATTCGGAAACGAGGAACTTGGATTCTACAACCACAATCCATCTTCCGATGCTACGGAACAGCTTCTTCGTATCATTAGAGACTTTATGGACAACCTCTCTAATATATTTTAGCATTTGGCTTGTCGTAGCTAAGGTCATTTGCATCAATTACGAATATTCCATGCATAAGTTTTTGCTTGTTGCCTGGTGAATCATATTATATACACACATAAAGCATACAATGTTTTTTGGTTTCGTTGTATCCTTGTTCATCGTATCTAACTTAAATGGTATATACTAAAAATTCTTGAACACGTGTTCATTTGTTTCATAAACAAGTCACTGTGGCTAGCGGTGGAGGCGTAGAGCTAGACGTTTCTAAATAGTCAGACTACTATTGAGACTTTGGGTTTCGGTACAGTCACGCTTGTGGTGTAAAGCAGAGGAGGAATAGAAAGATGAGCTCACACGTAGGATCATATATTGTTTAACTAAAAACACACAGGAACTACTTGAAAAGACAAGTAATAAAGATAATACCACCACCACAATACTAAAATAGCAACTGAGTTTTGGATAGAAATTATTAGGCATGCAACTAGATATATATGCTTCATGCTTTTGGGTTGTCAGCAATACTTTCCGTCTGCAAAAGAGAAGAGTCGAACGAAAAGCGATTCTGGCCAACGAGCGTCAGTATCTGGTTGGTAATTCTCATCCGGAGCTGCTAAGAAGACACGGTAAGCTGTGCGAGCAATCATGGTAAGCCTATAGGAGAACAAGAAGTCATTTTTGACTTTATCAGATACTACGAGCAAAAGTGATGGAGGATGGAAGTCCCTTCTCCATAAAAGGATGTCTGTTAACATTCTACAACGTCTCTTGTATCTATCAGCCCCTGGAAAAGAACTGATGACATCATATATTACGTGTATAGATAACGGCAGATAAGAAAATCCGAGTAAATAAAAAAATCACCTCCGGGAAGGAAGTAGATTCTGGATTCCCAAGTCTTGTCTGTGAGATAAGACCCAACCCAAGGCCCTTCCTTATCCGTCTCATCAACATAAACCCATATGTATGTCTGACCCGTAATATCCTCTTCACCCTCATGTAAATATAATTCGATTCTTTTATGGATCTCATCAGGACTCATACCACGAGGTAATGGGCAACGCACGGCGTCCCAGAACACGCCTGAGTGAGACCTTTTCATCATGGCTGTGCGGTTGGTTGAATTACCATATCAAAGAGATTATCATCCAAATCCAATCACCATTTTATAACGAATTACAACACAATGATGAAATATTGAAATCTATAACAATAAAATAAAATAAGAATAACAAAGAGAGGCATCTTACCGGAGAAATCTTTGATCTTCCTATCTTTGCCATCTGAACAAATTGTACTAGGTCAAATAAACTAATTACAATACAATGATGAAATCTGTAACAATTAAAAAAAAAAATAACAAATTCGGCTAAAGGATGGAGAGAGATCTTACCGGAGATATCTTCAATCTTCCCGGCCATGGTTTAACGGAGAGAATTGGAGACTTTCTCACCAAGTTAGGTTTAGAGTGGGCTTTGAATGGATGAGAGAGAGAGCCTTTGTTGGTTTTATCGAGATCCTATTATCATCTGTGTTTTGATCTTTCAGACCTTAGAATTCACAGATATTAAAATATATAAAATTTAACAAAATTAAGGGTGTTATATCGATCTGTGGCATGTTTTCAACCGTCAGATCGCATTCATGAATTTCCAAGTATCAATCTGCGCAATAGAGTTAGTTGCTTCCTCCTCAGTCATTTTAATCGCATCAAGTAAAAGAAAAAAAAAAGAGAAATCTCCTCTCATACGTTATGGTAATGGCTGCCTGAGTTCCTGTTATCAGGATCAGGTTTGATACTAATCTCAAGCAAACAAGGCTCTGTTTATCTAAAGAATCACTTGCGGTACTGGATGTTTTTATTTACTTGTGTTATAAAGATAGTGATGTCAGTCAGTTGCATGTGTCCTCTTACGAAACTAAAAAAAAATTAGCCTTACTAGGTCGAGCAGAGCTTAGAGGAATAAAACTGCATGCATATCAATTGAAGCCAAAAAGACAGAGTTTAACAAAACAAAGATGAAACATGATACATTTAGCCCCCATATCAACTACTGTAAGTACAAACGCAGTCCGGCCTGGTTGTGGGCTCTCCATCTAAACATTGTGTACAAGCAAGTACTGACTCTGCAGATTTAAGAAATTGACCACCACTGTCACCAACAGGCGGGTCTACTAGGAGAACATCGTGATCTCTCGATTGCAAACACTCGAGCACCCTGTGCAACTCACTATCTTGGTCTGGTTTTGGGACTACCATTATAATTGCTGGATCACAGGCCTGTTCCGTGATCATAAGAACGTCCAAATAGATTTCACTAGGATCTGAAGAATGCAATATACCAACAGATTACAAACATATATATAGTAATAAATAGAAACGAACGACGAAGAGTGTGTTGAGTGTATAGTAATTCACCTCCGATACCGCCATTCTTTAGTACATCTTCGATATCGGCATCCGGGAGTTGTTCACGTTCTACACAGCAAGAAATTTTGGCCTCCCGAAAGACATCTTTATGGTCGAGTAAGGATTTGTCACCATACGCATAGATTCGCAACGAACCATGCAAGCCCATTCTATGAATAGCTGATCTGATAGTAGGTTTAACACCAGGAAGCGCATCAGGAGGGATTGGGCACTTGATCACGTTCCAGAAGACCATTGTCGGCCTCTCACCACCTTGACAAACCAATAACCATACAATAATATTAGGTTACATGAGATCCATTACCATTCATTCACTAATCTAAAAGACACATACAATTTCGAGTAAAGGATCTTACAGTTTAAATCTTCCTTCTTTACGAAATACGGTTGCCCCCCTTCCACCACGACTGTGCGGTTGAATTACCAAATCAAATAGATTAATTATGATCCAAATCCAAATCTTTAACAAACAATTTCGGGTAGAGGACGGAGAGACTTCTTACCGGAGAAATCTTCGATATGGAAAATCTTCTTACCCGAGATATCTGAACAAATTACAATTAGGTCAAATACACGAATTACAATACAATTATGAAATCTATAGTAAATAAAAAAGCCCAAATTCGCCTAAAGGATGGAGAGAGATCTTACCGGAGATTTCTTCCATCTTCCCGGCCATGGTTACAAGTTACAACGGAGAGAATTGGAGACTTTCTCGCCAAGTTAGGTTTAGATTGGGCTTTGAACTGATGAGAGCCCTTTGTTGTGTTTTATCGAGCTCCTATTATCATCTGTGTTTTTTACCTTTCAGACCTTGGAGTATGATATTAAAAATTATGTAGTTATAAAATAACTATAAATTTAATCATGAAAATACCATTTCCTTCTCACGTAATTTTGTTGTTTCTTCAAGTTCAAGTATCAATCTAATTAAGATCTCATGTAATTCAGGTACAATAACACTGCAAATATCATTTGAAGCCAAAACAGAGTTTAACAGAACAAACATGAAAAATTAATATGTTCTGTTGACAGAAGACAATATCTAACTAATAAGATCTGCAACGGCAATTCGGCTTGCTGTGCTCTCCTCCAACTAAACGTTGAGTGTTATTAACTATTGACTCCGCAGAGTCAAATAGACCACTGCCATCAACAGGCTGCTTTACTACGAAAACATCGTGATTTCTCGCTTGCAAACACTTGAGCACCCTCTGCAACTCGCTATCTGCGTCTGGATTTGCGATTACCACTAAAATTGCTGGCTCCTCATAGGTCGGTGTTGCGAAAAGAATAAGGTCCACAGCCATTTCACCATAATCTGAAACAAGCAATATATCAACAGATTACAGACATATATATAGTAACTAGTAGAAACCACAAAGAGAGTGTTAAGTATAGTATTTAACCATCTGTTGGGAGACTTCGCTGGTGTTCATCTTCTACTGCGTAACAAATTCCGGCTTTCTTAAATAAATTTCGTTGGTCGGGCGTGTCACCATACGCATAGATTATCACCGGATTATGAAAGCCCATTTCATAAACAGCTGATTTGATATTACTAATAACAGAAGGAAGCCTCTCACTAGAAGGGATTGGGCACTGCTTCACGTTCCAGAAGACCATTATTGCCTCTCAGAACCTTGACAAACAAGGCATAAACGAATTTACCATACATTAGGTTAGATAAGATCCATCTAACACTAATCTAGGCAAACAATTTCGACATCTTACAGTGAAATCTTCACTCTTTCTGGGCAAGCTGTACCATATCACGCCTAGCTGACCCCCTTCAACGACGGCTGTGCAGTTTCACAAAACGCATAAACGAATTGCGAAATAAAGAGATACATTTAATAGGTTAATGATCCAGTGACCCTTATTTTACTTTTCGGGAGAGATCTTACCGGAGAAATCTTCGATATGGAGACACTTGTCTCCCCCATCTTTGCCATCTAAACAATAGGTCAAACAAACGAACTACTATGTATCGATTATTATATATATAGTGTTGCAAATGTAACAGAATGGCAAACCGTGGAATTTAAGTGTTGCGTAATAGAAATTATTAGAAAACATGAGAGACGGCTATAACCTCGAGTAGCATCAATCTTCTTTATGTTGTGAGGTTTGGTTGAGCCGAACGTTCCCTTTCTCACAAAAGAGTAGAGAACAGCTAATAGCGATGCAGGCCATTCAACTTCTTCTTCTGGTTGGTAGCTCCCAGGCTGAGTTGCTAAGTAAACATGGAAACCTCTCGTAATAAAATGTTTAAGCATCCGGCGGAAAAACAAGTCATCTCTGACTTGATCCGATACTATGACCAAAGTTGATGGACGAGGATGGGCCACAGGAAAGTCCATTCCCCATAAATGGATGTCATGTAGCATTCTATTAACTCTCTTGTGTTTATCATCACCTCCTGGAAGGAAGTAGATTCTTGATGTCCAAGTCTTGCTTTTCAGATAATCCCCAACCCAAGGCCCTTCCTTGTCCGTCTCATCCACATAAACCCATATTGATTTCTCACCCATATAATCCCAGTCCTCATCCTCATCACAATCACGAAGAGCTGACTCTATTTTTTCATAGATGTCATCAGGAGTCAAACCAGGAGGGAATGGGTAAGCCACGGCGTCCCAGAACACGCCTGTCTTGCCCATTCTCACGAGGGCTGTGCGGTTTCACAAAACGGACAAGCGCATAAACGAATTGCGATATATCAAAGAGATACAATAATAGGTTCAATGACCATCATTTTACATTTTATTAGATCCCGCTAGTTAACTATGACAGATCCAACAGATGAAATCTAAACAAACAAACAAAAAAATAATTTCGGGAGAGAAATCTTACTGGAAGGATCTCCCAGAACGAGATGGTTCTTCTCACGCAAGAGTTGTTGCACGCTTTTGCCATCTGAACAAATACAATTAGGTCAAATAAACGAATTACAATACAATTATGAAATCTATAGTAAATAAAAAAATTAGGCTAAAAGATGGAGAGAGATCTTACCGGAGATATCTTCGATCTTCCCGGCCATGGTTACAACGGAGAGAATTGGAGACTTTCTCGCCAAGTTAGGTTTAGATTGGGCTTTTAACTGATGAGAGCCTTTGTTGTGTACTTGTGTTTTATCGAGATCCTATTATATCTGTGTTTTTACCTTCCAGACCTTGGAATATAATATTAAAAATTTAACAAAATTAAGGGTGCTAGATCTGTGGCATGTTTTCAACCGCCAGATCGACCTCTGCATTTTTGCCGGGATCAAACATGTTTTAGTGATGCTTTAGATGCATTTTTACTAATCTCAAGCAAACAAGGCTCTGTTTATCAAAAGCATCACTTGAGGTACTAGATATTTTTATTTACTTGTGTTGTAAAGATAGTGATAACAGTCAGTTGCATGTGTCGTCTTATGAAACTAACAAATTAGAATTAGGTCGAGAAAAACCTCAAGGAATAAAACTGCAAATATCATTTGAAGCGAAAAAGACAGAGTTTAACAAAACAAAGATGAAACATGATGATACATTAGCCCCATAAATTTATTTCGACACAGAATATCATCAACTGTAATCACAAGCGCATTCCGGCTTGGTTATGGGCTCTGCCTCTCCATCTAAACCTCGTGGACAAGCAACTGCTGACTCTAAAGATTCAAGAAATTGATCACCACTGTCACCAACAGGCGTGTTTACTAGGAGAACATCGTGATCTCTCGATTGCATACACTTGAGCACCCTGTGCAACTCGCTATCTTGGTCTGGTTTTGGGATTACCATTATATCTGCTGGACGCCCAAAAGTCTGTTCCGCGAACAAAATAACTTCCAATTCCATGTCACCATAATCTGAAGAATGCAATATACCAATAGATTACAGACATATATAGTAACAAGTAGAACCGAACGACAAAAGAGTGTGTAGTAATTCACCTACGATACCTTGTGCACGTTCGACAAAGTAAGAAATTCCGGCTTTCCGAAAGACATCTCTTTTGTCGAGCAACGATTCGTCACCATACGCATAGATTCGCAACGGACCATGCAAGCCCATTCCACAAAGAGCTGATCTGATAGTAGGTTTAACACCAGGAAGCGCATCAGGAGGGATTGGGCACTTGATCACGTTCCAGAACACCATTGTCGACCTCTCACGACCTTAGACAAACCAATAACCATACAATAATAGGTTACATGAGATGATGAGATGCACTACCATTGATTCACAAATCTAAACAAACATACAATTTCGAGTAAAGGATCTTACAGGTTAAATCTTGCTTCTTTTTTATGTCTTCATACATGTCCTCATATATGTCGCCGATCCGACCCCCTTCCACCACGACTGTGTCAAAGAGATTATCATGCAAATCCAAACACCATTATTTTCATTCTATTAGTTCCTGCTACTTAGCTATCACAGATGAAATCTAAACAAACAATTTCGGGTAAAGGATGGAGACACTTCTTACCGGAGAAATCTTCGATACGGAAGGACTTCTTACCGGAGGAATCTGTCCCTTCGACATCTGAACAAATTGCAATAGGTCAAATAAACGAATTACAATACAATTATGAAATCTATAACGATAGAAAAAATTCGGCTTAAGGATGGAGAGAGATCTTACCGGAGATATCTTCCATCTTCCCGGCCATGGTTACAACGGAGAGAATTGGAGACTTTCTCGCCAAGTTAGGTTTAGATTGGGCTTTTTAACTGATGAGAGCCTTTGTTGTGTACTTGTGTTTTATCGAGATCCTCTCGTTACTATAAAATTCGATTTTTTTGCTATACCAAATTACTTTTCGGCCATTGACTACAAAGTTACTTGGTTCATGCACCTTATATTAAGGTCCTTAATATATTTAAGAAACGAGTACGAAAAAAAGCTAATACATATCTTTATTTGCTATTTTATTTTTTTACTGAAATATCATAAAGTAAGAAATAATGACTATTTACATATTAAGATATCGTGTATATGGAATGTATGAGAAAATGTAGTAACAAAAGATTAGATATGGATTTTGTAGATCTTGTTTCCATATAAACAACAAATATAAATATCACAAAAGTAAAAGGAAAGACATTGTAAGGTAAATACAGGTTGTCAAACAAACAAAAAGATTAATGTTTCTAAGGTGATAAGGTTGGAGAAATTGTTGACAATAAAAAGAAAAAAAAGTTAGAGAAATAATATCAAATTGATAAGTGAATATTAATAAGAGTGTTAGAATGGGTCGATAGTGTGCCGATTAAGCCAATAAACAACGAGAAATTACCCCTCGAAGTCACTGAACCACACGCTAGGGTTTGCTTCTTTTTTGAACCTTCGGAGAATGAACGATTTCGAGATCTAAAGCTTGAGGATTAAGGAGACGAAGAAGATTCTCCTAAACTGATCATGGACACAGTCGCATATTTATACTCTAGTACAACTCGTGTTCCGGTTTTCTATTGGGCCTAAAATCAATTGGGTATTTGGGTATATCATGTTTTACGGTCCATAATAATAATTAATCTTTATATTATTACTTGAAGTATTCTAATGGAAACATTTATTTGGATAGAAGAATAAATGGAAAAAAAGTTGTTTGGATATAAGAATAAGAGAAAATTTTATTTGGATAGAAGAATAAATGGAAAAAATTGTTTGGATACAAGAATAATAACTTAAAACAAACCAATGGTTTAGAAAACTACTGTTTTCCAGCTTTTAAAAAATCTGCAAAAAAGAAAAATTAACATAATTTATCAATAATACCAAATCAATAGAATATGTTTTTGCAAAATTTCCAATAGTGAAATAGAAATACGTCTAAGTTAAATTAAATTGTGGATTTCTGTTCGGGTTTTTTTGGGTTTAGTTCAGAATTTTCGGGATTTTTTTGGATTTCGGGTTTAGACATATTAAAAAAGTTTCGGTGTTTTAAAATTTTTACTAGAGTTTTTAGGTCGGGTTCGGGTTTCCGGTAAAAAAGTTTAGTTTTTTTATTCGGTTCAGGGTTTTCGGGATTTTTTGGATTTCAGATTTTCGGGTTTAGACATATCAAAAAGGTTTGAGTTTTTAAAAAATTTTGATTAGGTTTTTTTGGGACGGGCTTGGGTTTAAGAATTAGATTTTCTTCACAAAAACCGCAACGTCACACCGCGCGTTTGCGCGGGTCCTCTACTAGTAAGTGTTTATAAGGAAATCAAAAAAGACGAGAAAACATATATTTTCTCTTTGGTAGAAGGATTTAATTTGCTTTTGTCTTCTTCTTCTTCCTTGTATGTTAATTCTGTCTAGTAAATTAGAGATTATGGAATTAGACAAAGAGTTACAAAGTTTTTGTTGAAAAATTGAACTAACTTTAATATTTTGAAGATGGGAACAAAAGTGGAGCTTGACGACAAAAAAAACAGTACTATAATTACTTAATGGAGATGGGGATGAAAATTGACATGAAGTGGGATCATTGTAGCTTGTGGGGAGAGCACGTCAAGCCAACGCTACAGTTAACAAGAGCAATAATTTTGTCTATTTTTGTGTCACCTAATAAAGAAAAGAGTAAATATTAAACAAAAGACTCGCATGAAAGTTGAATCAGTTAACAAAATTATGTAGTTGGAAAATAACTATAAATTTAATCATGAAAATACCATTTCCTTCTCATGTAATTTTGTTCTTTCTTCAAGTTCAAGTATCAATCTAATAAAGAGAGTTTACATCAATTAGGAGATCTTGCTCAGGTACAGTAACACTGCAAATATCATTTGAAGCCAAAACAGAGTTCAACAGAACAAACATGAAACATTAATATGTTCTGTTGACAGAAGACAATATCTAATTAGGGATGTCAAAATGGGTCATTACCCACGGGTTGACCCTATTGGTCAATATTTTAAATGGGTTTGGGTTGAACTTTTCTACCCAAATAAATAAATGGGTCATAGTGGGTCGACCCTAATGGTCTATGGGTCTAACGGGTTTGTCCATTAAGATTATGGGTTACCCATGGGTTTATCACAAAAAAAGGAAAAACTATAAATATGTAAAATTTATAAATAAAAAAAGTAAAAACTATAAATATTCATAAACTATAAGATTTTATTCTATGGTTTTATTTGATATTTTATTTATGAGATTTTGTTTTACTACACAAAGATTATTATGAATTGTTATTTGGAAGTTTTAGTTGAATTTTTAATAATGTATAATATGTTTTAAAATTTTCATTACTCATTTATTATAAAAAATATAGATATATTACTCATTTTTTTATATATATGGGTACCCATAAAACCCATTTAACCTATGGGTATTGACATAATTGGGTTTGGGTTCTAATTTACAACTCATAAAATAAATGGGTCGGGTCATAACCCGACCCTATAACCTTCAAACCCATATGGGTAAGGGTCGGGTCGGGTCGGGTCGGGTCGGGTTACTCATTTTGACACCCCTATATCTAACTAATAAGATCTGCAACGGCAATTCGGCATGCTGTGCGCTCCTCCAACTAAACGTTGAGTGTTATTAACTATTGACTCTGCAGAGTCAAATAGACCACTGCCATCAACAGGCTGCTTTACTACGAAAACATCGTGATTTCTCGCTTGCAAACACTTGAGCACCCTCTGCAACTCGCTATCTGTGTCTGGATTTGCGATTACCACTAAAATTGCTGGCTCCCGATAGGTCGGTGATGCGAAAACAATAAGGTCCACAGCCATTTCACCATTATAGCCGTCTCTCATGTTAGTCTCTGGATTACAGCATATAAATTGATAAGATAGCATTAGGAGTCAGATCAACAGGGAATGGATAAGCCACGGCGTCCCAGAACACGCCTGTCTTGCCCATTCTCACGAGGGCTGTGCGGTTTCACAAAACGGACAAGCGCATGCATAAACGAATTGCGGTATTATCAAAGAGATACAATAATAGGTTCAAATTCAATGACCATCATTTTACTTTTTATTAGATCCCGCTAGTTAACTATGACAGATCCAACAGATGAAATCTAAACAAAAGAAAAAAAATCGGGAGAGAAATCTTACTGGAAGGATCTCCCAGAAAGAGATGGTTCTTCTCACGCAAGAGTTGTTGCACGCTTTTGCCATCTGAACAATAGGTCAAATAAACGAATTACAATGAAATTATGAAATCTATAGTAAATAAAAAAGCCCAAATTAGGCTAAAGGATGGAGAGAGATCTTACCGGAGGTATCTTCGATCTTCCCGGCCATGGTTACAATGGAGAGAATTGGAGACTTTCTCGCCAAGTTAGGTTTAGATTGGGCTTTGAACTGATGAGAGCCCTTTGTTGTGTTTTATCGACATCTTATAATCATCTGTGTTTTTTTACCTTTCAGACCTTGGATCTCAAATATAAAAATTAATAAAAATTAACAAAATTAAGGGTGTTAGATCTGTGGCATAAATCTCCAAGTATCAATCTGCGCAATAGTTAGTTCCTCCTCAGTCATTTAAATCGCATCAAGTAAAAGAACAAAAAAAAGAGAAATCTCCTCTCATACGTTATGGTAATGGACTAATAGGTGCTTGTTATCAGGATCAGGTTTGATACTAATCTCAAGCAAACAAGGCTCTGTTTATCAAAAGCATCACTTGCGGTACTAAAAAAAATATTTACTTGTTATAAAGATAGTCAGTTGCATGTGTCCTCTTACGAAACTTAAAAATTAGCATTATTAGGTCGAGCAAAGCTTAGAGGAATAAAACTGCATTCATCATTTGAAGCCAATTAAAGACAGAGTTTAACAGAACAAAGATGAAACATGATACATTTGCCCCCATATTTATTTATTTCGTCACAAAATATCAACTGTAAGCACAAACGCAGTATGGCCTGGTTATGGGCTCTCCATCTAAACATTGTGTACAAGCAAGTACTGACTCTGCAGATTCAAGAAATTGACCACTGTCACCAACAGGCGGGTTTACTAGGAGAACATCGTGATCTCTCGATTGCAAACACTTGAGCACCCTGTGCAACTCACTATCTTGGTCTGGTTTTGGGATTGCCATTATAACTGCTGGACGCTCAGACGTGTTATCTGCGAGCATAATAACGTGCAACTCCATTTCACCAGAATCTGAAGAATGCAATATACCAACAGATTACAGACATGTATATAGTAATAAGCAGAAACCAAGGACAAAGAGTGTGTTGAGTGCTTAGTAATTCACCTTCGATGTCGGCATCAGAGAGTTGTTCACGTTGTACATGGTAAGAAATTCCGGCTTTCAAGAAGACATGTTTTCTGTCGAGCAAGGATTTGTCACCATACACATAGATTAGCAACGTGCCATGCAAGCCCATTCTACGAAGAGCTGATCTGATAGTAGATTCAACACCAGGAAGCACATCAGGAGGGATTGGGCACTTGATCACGTTCCAGAACACCATTGTCGACCTCTCACGACCTTGACACACCAATAACCGTACAATAATAGGTTACATGAGATGATGAGATGCATTACCATTAATTCACTAATCTAAACAAACAATACAATTTCGAGTAAAAAGGATCTTACAGGTTAAATCTTCCTTCTTTTTTATGTCGTCATACATGTCGCCGATCCGACCCCCTTCCACCACGTCTGTGCGGTTGAGTTACGAAATCAAAGAGATTAATTATGATCCAAATCCAAATCTTTAACAAACTACAATTTCGGGTAGAGGATGGAGGGACTTCTTACGTACCGGAGAAATCTTCGATACGGAGAGACTTCCTACCGGAGATATCTTCAGACATCTCAACAAATTACAATTAGGTCAAATACACGAATTTCAATACAATACAATGATGACTTCGATCGTCCCGGCCATGGTTTTAAAACATTCGTAATATTCAATGGGGACGGCCCAATACTTCTACTCCGAAAGGTCCAAAATCTTCCTACGATTTTATTCTAGTCAAACTGGTTGAATAGATTACATTACGGATTCAAACACGAGTAACACATATCGTCGATAACTGTGTGTATTGATTAAATAACCAAGTAAAAGAAGATAAGTATACCTAATGTATCTACAGTAATTCTTTTAGAAAAAGATCACACTAATCGAAAAGATGAGATATTTTGAAATTGGTTGAGTTACAACTTACAAATTTAGTAATTGGCTCTTTGATGAGGCATATAAGAGCACAGGCATCGTAGAGCCCAGCTTGGAGCTCTCTAAAATTAAATCAAAATAATTTTCGAAATTTATTTTTGTCTTTTTTTGAAAAAAGAAATAATAAAAAGAAGCTGACCAATTGTGTGGCGACATGTGGCCAGAGACTGCTTTTATAACCTCTTTCCAGAGATACGTCTCTGATAAAAATTAAAGTCACCTCATTTTTTTCTTTTTTTTTTGTTTACTTTTCTCCTATGATCCCATGTCGAGACTCTGCAATGCATGTGCTCTAAGAATACATGTGCTCTAAGAATATCTATCTACACTCTTTTAAAAATCCAGATTAGCTGACCTGTACGTTCCGCAGGTAAAGACACCTCATCTAACAATGATCTCAGCCGTTGATCTTAACACCAAAAACTCATCCTCACCGTTGGATTCACTTTTCTACCACTCGATTTTACCCAAAATAAACATCAAGTCGTCATTGGCACGAGACTCCATGGAAGAAAAGCCTTTTTCGATCCAATTCGATTTAAAATCGAAAGATAAAAACAGAACCTTTAGGGTTTCAAAAAAACCAGAGGGAAAAACGAAGAACAATTCTCTCTCTCTCTCTCTCCTTCTCTTCTTCTCTTTCGTTTCCACGTTTTGTTTTTGTTTCCCGACTCCGAATCCGACATCGATTTTCTCTTCCTTTAATTTTTCTCCACTTTTTTCTTTTTCTTTTCGTTTGCCCAGAAAAGCGAGAAGAGAGAGAAATTGTTTGTTCTGTTGATTTTCCGCAAGTCATAGAGATTCATACAAGGAGAAGAGGATATATTATTAGCTTTTCTGCTTTTTGGTTTCCTTTGGATAAGCTTATTTTCCCGGGAAATTCCGACGATAGCTTGGTGGTTGAAGGTAAGGCTCTCGATTTGGGAATTTCTGTTTGCTTTACCTACTTCCCCCTCCATTGAAGAAGTTTTGTTTTAGTCGCCACGAGAAAGCTCGAGTGATCGCTTTAATTGGAATAATGTTGGAGGAATTGACTTTTTTTTTTTTCATGAGCTAATTACCAGAAACTTTTTGTTTCGCAGAATTCGTTTCAGCTGGATTCTTTTGACCGGAAATTTGACTATCCCCACAAGGCAGCAGCAGTTTCCGATTTCCCAGAATAATCTTATCGTTTAGAAATTTGTGCGATTCAGGTCCTCCCTGGCTCTAAATTCGCGTTCACGGATCTGGAGGTTTCGTGAACGGGGATACGATCGTTATTATGTTTATGTGACACAATTCGGGATTGTGAATTGGATACTATACAAGCGATGAATTTGGGGAAAATATCGTCTCCCAGTGATGTGGTGAGATGTTGTGATTGTGGATGCGATTGCTCTCTGAATAACACATCCATGGGTTCGTGGATTCGGTCTGTGAAGAGAAAATACGAGGAATTTGAGAACGAGCCACGATTCCACATACCTGAGCTGGATCTAGACCTGTCTTCCAATGCGAAAGTTCAAATCGAGAACGAGTGTGAGCTGCTGCGTGAAACCGTTAGCAGCCAACAGGAATCGATTCAGGATTTGTATGCAGAGCTTGACGAGGAGCGGAATGCTGCATCGACCGCTGCGAATGAGGCAATGTCTATGATACTGAGGTTGCAGAGGGAGAAGGCAGAGATTCAGATGGAGCTGAGACAGTTTAAGCGGTTTGCTGAGGAGAGAATGGAGCATGATCAGCAAGAGCTTTTGGATCTTGAAGATTTGATGTATAAGAGGGAGCAGACGATTCAGGCTCTGACATGTGAAGCTCAGGCTTATAAGCATAGAATGATGAGTTTTGGGGTTAATGAGGCTGAGGTTGATGCGGAGAGGAACATGCATAGCCGTAACACGAGCATGGTTGAAAATGATTTTCAATATGACCTCCCTACTTATGATTACCCTCCTCTTAAGTGCAGTGTGAATGAGAACACGGATCCTCTGGAGGCTGATGTTGATGTTGACGATGATGTTGAAAAGTACCCACTGACGACTGATTCGCCTCATGGCCGAGAAAAGTTGAAGACTTTGGAACGGAGGATAAGTCGGATGGAGAGGATTCCTAGCTTTACTCCTTCTCATGGTGATGTCTCCGGAGGGAGAACTTATTTGGAGAAGGTGGTGGTTGGGGACAGTCCTAGGCGTCAGAGACATTTCAGGAGAGTTTCCACTGGTAGTTCGAGTTCACTGAGGCCTGATTTTTCCAATGATTCACCGAGGTCCTACAATGGCAGCGTCAAGAAAATGGAAGATGCCTCATCATATGCAGAGGGTAATTCGTTTGCAAAGGGTAAAGGTGACTACTCTTCAGAAGAGTTTGGAGATAATGACATGAATGATAGAGTTTATACGATTGATTCTGTCCATCACGGTGTATCTCACAGTGGTGCTGCTGAGCAGAAATTTAGAGAGGATGAGACTGGTGATGGCTATGGTGGGAAATTGAATCAACCGGATCTTGGTGATCCTGATATAGTGAAACTATACATGAGGCTTCAAGCACTAGAGGCTGACAGGGAATCAATGAGACAGGCGATTGTGTCGATGAGGACTGAGAAAGCTCAAATGGTTCTTTTGAAAGAGATTGCCCAACATCTATCAAAGGATGTTATCACAGAGAGGAGATTGCCTCTAAGGAAAACATCTGTTGTTGGAGCATTCAGTTTCATATCTATCTTTAAGGTGATTTAGTTTCTTATACCATTCATTCAGTGGGTTGTGATCTCTATTAACACATACACACTAGTAGGAAGCAATTTGCTAAGTTTTCTGCTGTAAATTCTAAATGGATTGTGTACTTGTCAACTGATTCTTTCTGATTATCTATGCAGTGGATCACATCAGTTGTTTTCTGGAGAAAGAAAGCTCGTCGAAGCAAGTAAGCAAACACAGTCTTGAACTTTGATTAGCTTGTGCTTCACATAGCGTATTTGAAGAAACGACATACTTATGCTTGTGGTGTTCCAAATGGTAAATGCAGGTACATGAACGGGATGCAAGGGAGCAACATGGGCTTGCAAATGCTTCTAGAGAAGACTCCTCGGATACGGCAATGGAGATGTCTCTCAAACACGCAAGTGTGAAACAGTTCACATTCTCCAACTTGGTGAATTTGAATCGGTTAATGTGAATACTGGGAGTTAGTGTGCCTGCATTCTCCATCATCATGGTTGCTGAGAAACATGTTTTCTTGTGCAGTTTTTATTCTTTTCGTTCTTTCTTTTGCATTTGCCATATTTCATTTGTTGTTGGGGTTGGAATGCATTATGTCTTGAGTGGGGTGGGTTTGATTATTTGTCTAAAGAGATCGGTGAGTGTACACGACAAAACACGTCTTTTTTACTGTAAGCTGTGTATAATTTTTCCACATTCTTGTTTGGGTTTTCTCTGGAATGAAGAAAAACTTCCGGTTATCGGAACTTGGTGTTGTATTGATCGTCTAAGTTCTCAAATACTTGATGAAGCTATACCATCAACTAAAATTTAAAGGTCATTTCCTAATTTGACGATATTATCAAACATCTAATCAGTTACGGTCTAACCGATTTAACCCAAGAGAATTTCCATTGATTTTCTTGTTCCGGTTCAGTTATTAACCGAATATACTCTGAAAAAAATCAAATCGTGTTAATTAAAACCCAAAACCCTCGCCGCTGAAGCTGATTGCTCCGTCGAAGAAGATGCCAAGCTGCAAGAATTTGCTGCTAGCGATGGTTCTTCGTAATCGGCGGCGTAAATCCAAATCCAAAAGACAAAAGCTCACTCACAATGAGCGTAAGTCTCTGCTTTCAGAGAGTGCACCAACAGAGGAAGAAGAAGAAGACGGAGCAGGGTTCAAGCTGAAAACTAGAGAAACCTCGCGCGAGCATGGAGTTCAACCTCTCGGGAACCTCTATTTCGTCAATCGGGGCGCGGTGAATGTTAGAAACACTGGATTAGGGTATCTCCATGGACTCACCGACGAGCTCGTTGTGGATATCCTAGGGCTTCTCGATGCGACCAGTTTGGGTAATTTAGCTGCTGTAAACAAATCTCTCTATATTTTCGCCAATCACGAGCCTCTCTGGAGAAATCTCGTGTTAGACGAGTTAAAAGGAGAGTTTTTGTTTGCCGGGTCGTGGAAATCGACCTATGTAGCTGCTCGCCACCCGAAATTCCAGTTAACCGGAGCTGGTGAGTCGGTTTTGAAGATTAGAGATTTCTATTCCGATTACCTGTTTCAGAGCTGGTTGTGTGCTAATCTGGAAATGAAACCGGAATGGCTTGAGAGAGACAATATCGTCCGTGTGAGAGGCATTTCCGTTGAAGACTTCATCGCGGAGTTTGAAGAACCGAATAAACCGGTTCTATTGGAAGGATGTTTGGATGATTGGCCTGCGATTGGGAAATGGTCGAGAGATTATCTGATTAAGGTGGCTGGTGATGTGGAATTCGCAGCCGGTCCGGTTGACATGAAGCTGGAGAACTATTTCAGGTACTCTGATGGAGTTAGTGAAGAAAGGCCATTGTACTTGTTTGATCCCAAGTTTGCAGAGAAAGTTCCGGTTTTGGACTCGGAGTATGACGTTCCTGTGTATTTCAGAGAGGACTTGTTTAGTGTTCTTGGAAACGAGCGACCTGATTATAGATGGATCATCATTGGACCGTCCGGTTCAGGATCTTCTTTCCACATTGATCCTAACTCGACGTCTGCTTGGAATGCTGTGATCACAGGGTCGAAGAAATGGGTTTTGTTCCCACCGGAAGTGGTTCCTCCGGGAGTGCACCCGAGTCCTGATGGAGCGGAAGTGGCGTGTCCTGTTTCGATAATGGAGTGGTTCATGAACTTTTATGGTGAGACTAAGAATTGGAAGAAGAGACCTATTGAGTGTATTTGCAAAGCCGGGGAGGTTATGTTTGTACCTAATGGATGGTGGCATCTTGTGATTAACTTGGAGGAATCCATTGCCATTACTCAGAATTATGTTAGCAGGTAAAAAGGATTTGATTTCTTTCATACTCGCTCTTTAGTTCAACAGCTTTGTCATGTGTCTTTGTGTGTGTGAATTGATTTGGTCTAATTGGAGGAACATTGCTTGCGCAGGAGGAATTTGTTGAATGTGTTGGAGTTTCTGAAGAAACCGAATGCTAAAGAGCTCGTCTCCGGAACGAATGACAGAGAGAATCTGCATGACAAATTCAAGAAGGCCATTGAAGGAGCTTACCCCGGGACTATTCAAGAGTTGGAGAAGAAGGCAGAAGAAGAGAGAAGAGCTGAAGAAGAGAAAGTTACTTTCTGGGACTCTGCATCAGATTCCAAATCTGGTGCTTTCAAGTTTTCTTTCTAAAGACAAAAAAAAACATTATCATTCTAAAATTTTGGAAGTCAGTTTTTTTATGTAAGCAAGATTTTTTTTCATGAGGAAACAATTCTATTTGATCTGTCGTTTCATTGTGCAAGCTAAAGTCAAACTTTAAAACAGAGGAAATCGACCGTTATATTTAAGATTCAGATTCTTATAAAGTAGCGAACTTTTTTGGCTTCTTTTTCAGAGAATGAGTAACATTGTGCTCAATACACTTCGTTTCAAACACCCGAAGCTTGCCTTGCTCCAATCCTGCTCTTCGTTCTCCGATCTCAAGATCATCCATGGCTTTCTCATACGAACCCATTTCATCTCCGACGTCTTCGTTGCCAGTCGTCTCCTCGCTCTCTGCGTCGACGATGGAATCGTCGACAAATCGATTAATGTCCTGGGATACGCATACGGAATCTTCTCCCAAATTCAAGAGCCTAATTGTTTCATCTTCAACATACTCATCCGCGGCTTCTCCTCTGGCGCAGAACCTAGCAGGGCTTTTCAATTCTACACCCAGATGCTGAAATCTCGAATTCGGCCAGATAACATCACGTTTCCGTTTCTGATCAAGGCTGCTGCGGAGATGGAGTGCGTGAAGACGGGAGAGCAAACTCATTCGCATGTTGTTAGATTCGGGTTCCAGAACGATGTTTATGTGGAGAATTCGCTTGTTCACATGTACGCTAATTGTGGGTCGATCGCTGCTGCTGGTAGAATCTTTGGGAAAATGCCGTTTCGTGATGTGGTTTCGTGGACTTCAATGGTCGCTGGGTATTGCAAATGCGGGATGGTTGGAGATGCACGAGAGATGTTCGACGAAATGCCTCAGAGAAATTTGGTAACTTGGAGTATCATGATCAATGGGTATGCGAAGAACAACTTCTTCGAGAAAGCTATTGACTTGTTTGAGCTCATGAAAAGGGAAGGAATTGTAGCGAATGAGACGGTTATGGTGAGTGTGATCTCTTCTTGTGCTCATTTGGGTGCGCTTGAGCTTGGAGAAAGAGCACATGACTATGTGGTGAAGAATCACGTGACTGTGAATCTTATTCTTGGGACAGCTCTTGTGGATATGTATTGGAGGTGTGGGGAGATAGAGAAAGCGACTCGTGTGTTTGAGGGATTGCCTGAGAAAGATAGTTTGAGCTGGAGTTCGATAATCAAAGGTCTTGCGGTGCACGGAGATGCTCACAAGGCAATTCGTTACTTCTCAGAAATGGTTAGATTAGGGTTTATACCAAGGGATGTTACATTGACAGCGGTGCTTTCAGCTTGCAGCCACGGTGGTTTAGTTGATAAAGGTTTGGAAATCTATGAGAACATGAAAACGGACTATGGGATTGAGCCGAGACTCGAGCATTATGGTTGCATCGTTGACATGTTTGGCCGTGCTGGGAGATTAACTGAAGCTGAGAACTTTATCCGTAAAATGCCGGTGAAGCCAAATGCTCCTATATTGGGAGCTTTGCTTGGAGCTTGTAAGATTCATAAGAACACAGAGGTGGCAGAGAGAGTAGGAAACATGTTGATAGAGGTGAAACCAGAACATAGCGGTTACTACGTCTTGCTCTCGAATATATACGCGTGTGCAGGGAAATGGGAGAAAATCGAGAGCTTGAGAGAGATGATGAAGGAGAAGCTTGTTAAGAAGCCACATGGATGGAGCTTGATAGAGATTAATGGGAAAATAAACAAGTTCTCCATGGGAGATACGCATCCTGAAATGGGTAAGATCAAAAGGAAGTGGGAAGAGATTTTGAGGAAGATAAGAGCGATAGGGTATAAAGGAAACACAGGGGATGCGTTGTTTGATGTAGACGAAGAGGAGAAAGAGAGTGCGATTCATATGCATAGCGAGAAACTTGCGATTGCATATGGTATGATGAAGACTAAGCCTGGTACGAGTATTAGGATAGTGAAGAACTTGAGGGTGTGTGAGGATTGTCATACAGTAACAAAGCATATCTCTGAGGTTTATGGTAGAGAGTTTATTGTAAGAGACAGGAACAGGTTTCATCGTTTTAGATATGGATTATGTTCCTGCGGAGATTATTGGTGACAGTTGCTTTCACTTACTTTGTTTTATCATTTTCTTGTAGATGATTTGTGATTTTCAATAACACATGTTTACACAGATTTGGTCGTTTTAGTCTTTGATTTATGTCTATTTCTCTAGTATGTTAGCAATCGAAACCTAGACACAAAAATACTTTTGTATTTCCTAGTTGAAGAAGCAAGTAAAATCGTAACACTTGTGTACATACAAAAGTACTAAAATAGTAAGTTTATATTAATGTTATACAATTTGAGCATATAGAAACGAGAAGAGGGGCGGTGCCGTCCTTAGAGGAGAAGAAGCCACGTGACTTTAAGAGACTCTTTTCTTGTTGGTCCCATCACCAAATGCGTAGCTGATTGATTTTTTTTTTTCAATCTGATTGAAATTTTCCAAACGCAATGTTTGAAAGCAAATTGTTGGAAAATATCTTTTAAACGAACGGTTAAATGAAGTTGATGAATCGCGGTCCGATTTATAAATTGGTAAGTTTACGGTTTGAGTTTTTCTTCTGTGGAAATATGGTCGAGTTTTTCTTCTATACTGAAATTTTATGTTTCGTCGTTACGATAAACTTTGGTTAAATAATACGGATGAAACATAATTTTTTTTTTTTTTTAAAATACATCTTCCAATTATACAATGAAGCATTAGATCAGATGTGTATAATTAATTATAAAGGATTAATTAAAGGAAAAAAGGAGGTAGCGCGCCAAGTCGACAACTAACGTTTCAACTACCGACCAGACAGTGTGGGGAAGGATTGGAGAAGGGCTTTCTCTGTTTGAGTCTTCTTGACTCATCTTCGCACTTGTCTCGCCACGTGTATGCATTCTCTCGTTCTTCTTTGATCTTTCTGCCTGTTTGTCCCCACGTAGACAATTCGGACTATTATTAATTTATTATGTGCGTGTGTATACTAATTAATTAATATTGAACGTGTATTTTTTCACTTTCTGAAAATGAAAGTGAATTGGAAGATTTCCACGGATACAAAAAGAGAAGCCATACACCACAATACTTAGATTGAATTACATGAGTATATAATCTTGATTAGATCACTTACGTAGTTACGTATGGTCTCGTTTCATAGTTGAGGACTTTGAGGTCAAGGAAGAAGATAAGGTTAACCTTCTCAAACCATCCGAGTTGGCCAGTTTTCTAAAATGAAACGCAAACACCAAAAGTAGCGGAATTAAGGTTTTGCTCGTGCTTGCGTTTGTAATTCAGTGTAAATTAGTTTCACATTAAAATAAATTTAGCTTATCATAAAATACTCTAGCAACTGTAAACGAAATTAATAGGTTTTCCTGTGTTGGTGTCTAATATACGCGATGCCCATTACAAATAACGAAATAATATTCTAAAAATGTTATAAGTTGGGATTTGTTTTTTCTGCAAAAAACCAAAAAAAAAACCTCTATTATGATAACATGTAAACGCAAACTCAAACGTGAAGAAAAAATCGAAACTTAAGTCGAGGGCATATGTAAAGCAGCAATACAGGATCGATCCAATGACAGAAATGAACAAAACGTAGGTATCAATAGAAGCCGTTTATCTCTTCAAAAGGAAGAAGAAAACAAAAGATTGGGCCTGCTTCATTTATTGACTTTCTGATTTAAGACATCGATTCTTGACAAAATCACAACCTGTCCGTAGCTTTCTTGCACCACTGTACGTGACTACACATTGAGGCAGCAGTACAAACACTTACGCATAACGTACCAAATTATACATTCAATTATCGTGTTGAGTGTTGACCTCACATGGCATTTATTTATTATTGTACCTTTGGTAGACGTAAGTCAATTGAAAGTCCATCTTTTAATTTTAAAAAAATACTTCTTCAAAAATAATCATGGGTTCCAACCATCCCTGATTTTAAAACCAATATACACCACTTACATTTGACAAAAACAAAATTACTGCAAATATACATTTTAGTACATAAAATGAGGGATTGCAGCAATCATATGTGTAATTAGGTCTAGTTTTTTTTGTCATGGGTTCAGAAATTGTTAGACAACGGTTGATTCTTAATGATCGGAATGAATACATACAAATTTGCCAAATTAGCTTTCACAATTATTGTTACGAAAGGAACAAAACTAGAAACAAGGACAAAGCATTGGATCCAGTGTGTACCTAAATCTTAGTACCTTTGTAAATCATTCTGTGTGACGTCAAATCTAATAGATGGGAACAATATTTAGAGGCTACTCTGTGTACTTTATAAGATAGAGAAAGAAGTTAAACAATCACACAAAAATGAACGGCCAGCCCGCCTTTAGTACAACTTCTTGTTGGAGTCGAGTTTCTAAGAACAATCTCTGGCTACTGTGTCTACTTGGTGGCGTTGGATTTTTTATTTTTATTAAATATTTTTCTTTTCATTCCACTAGAAGGGACAATGTTTCAAACCCATTGCAAGGATAGAGTAAATAAATATATTTTTTACATGGGAAGGCAAAAAAATAGAGAGCAAATTAAGCGGATTGTGTGATTATTGCGTTGGACTTTCACTAATATAATTGATTAATGCATGGATTATGTGAGATTCACGGTCGATAATGCATCAAAGGAATGTGAGGCCTGAGTTACATTAAATGCATTGGATGATTCGTTAGACTCCCATGGTAGAGCCACTGATTTGCATGTTTTGAGTGATATATGGTTTTTGGAAAACTGATGATGTGACTAGCTGATTGATGTAGAATAGTACTATTGATTAACTAATAGGCAAGAAATAATACGATGAATATCATATAAACTAATATAGCTGGTTATATGAATGTAAGGATTGTTAACATAAATCAATATAACCAACATAAACGTAATATTTACGAATAGGTGACGATAATAAGTCCGAAAATCCGTAACGAAAGCTAAATAAATCTCAAAACTAACCAAAAAAAGAAAAAGAAAATAA